AGAAAGCGGATTGTTCACTCTTGTTGGTCTGCATGTGTCATTCCGGGAGACATTGCCTGTGCATGTCTCCCAGAATGGCATACTGTTCCGCATTCATAACTTGAATGCGGAACTTTGACCGACAAGAGTGCATTGTGCACTCTTGTTGGTCTGCATGTGTCATTCCGGGAGACATTGCCTGTGCATGTCTCCCAGAATGGCATACTGTTCCGCATTCATAACTTGAATGCGGAACTTTGACCGACAAGAGTGCATTGTGCACTCTTGTTGGTCTGCATGTGTCATTCCGGGAGACATTGCCTGTGCATGTCTCCCAGAACGAGACAATTTATTGCAATCAGAATACGATTGCAAAACTTTGACCGACAAGAGTGCATTGTGCACTCTTGTTTGTCATCCACTATGATACTTAGAGAAAATACTTTACTTACATTATTTAAAATATTAATTTCCCTATTTAATATTTATTATTATTTTTTGTGCTTTATATTCCCTATGGCATGTACTGAACTATTTTATAGACTCTACCGAGCTATCTCCACATATAAACATTTGACAATAACACATATTACTCTCTTCATATTCTAGTCTCATGACATATTATTGCAAAAGCTATATTTATACAGCATACCTCATAAAGTCTCATTATATCCCTATCTAAGCGTTCAAAACCTATTTTCCCCACGTAATCTGATTCTTCAGGCTCCGCTGATTCGATTTCTGCTGTCAGATCGTGAAAATATGAATCACATAACAAGATAAACACAAGTTACCCAACTTGATATTTTACGTAAAAAAACTCTTTAAGTTCATGTTCAAACAACATCATTTTAGAAAAATTCAATTTTTTCCAAAAGTGTGTGAATTCAAAAAGTCACAATATATCTAGTTATTACCCAGTATTAATTTTTTAATTTAGTTTTTGAGATATTCATTTTATAATACGTATTATTCAGAAAATTAAATACATTTGTAAGGGAAAACGGAATTAATAACAAATATATGAATATCGTGGAAGAGTCAATTTGAAGAAAACATTATTATTTTGGATTTGTGTTTATCTTGTTATGTGATTCATATTTTCACGATCTGACAGCAGAAATCGAATCAGCGGAGCCTGAAGAATCAGATTACGTGGGGAAAATAGGTTTTGAACGCTTAGATAGGGATATAATGAGACTTTATGAGGTATGCTGTATAAATATAGCTTTTGCAATAATATGTCATGAGACTAGAATATGAAGAGAGTATATATGTGTTATTGTCAAATGTTTATATGTGGAGATAGCTCGGTAGAGTCTATAAAATAGTTCAGTACATGCCATAGGGAATATAAAGCACAAAAAATAATAAATAAATATTAAATAGGGAAATTAATATTTTAAATAATGTAAGTAAAGTATTTTCTCTAAGTATCATAGTGGATGACAAACAAGAGTGCACAATGCACTCTTGTCGGTCAAAGTTTTTGCAATCGTATTCTGATTGCAATAAATTGTCTCGTTCTGGGAGACATGCACAGGCAATGTCTCCCGGAATGACACATGCAGACCAACAAGAGTGCACAATGCACTCTTGTCGGTCAAAGTTCCGCATTCAAGTTATGAATGCGGAACAGTATGCCATTCTGGGAGACATGCACAGGCAATGTCTCCCGGAATGACACATGCAGACCAACAAGAGTGCACAATGCACTCTTGTCGGTCAAAGTTCCGCATTCAAGTTATGAATGCGGAACAGTATGCCATTCTGGGAGACATGCACAGGCAATGTCTCCCGAAATGACACATGCAGACCAACAAGAGTGCACAATACACTCTTGTCGGTCAAAGTTTTGCAATCGTATTCTGATTGCAATAAATTGTCTCGTTCTGGGAGACATGCACAGGCAATGTCTCCCGGAATGACACATGCAGACCAACAAGAGTGCACAATGCACTCTTGTCGGTCAAAGTTCCGCATTCAAGTTATGAATGCGGAACAGTATGCCATTCTGGGAGACATGCACAGGCAATGTCTCCCGGAATGAGACACTGCGACCGTCAGGAGTGCATATTATCATCAAAAATTCAAAAAAAAACATTTTTCTTTTTTCTTTGGCGAAAAATGTACTTATTTTTTTGAAATTTTCGAAATATGATTTTTTCGGGAGACTTTTTCAAAATTTTAATATGATAAATATGAGTTATTTTATGTTCTCTATTTGAGAGTCTGCTTATTTTTGAGTATTGAGCAAGATTGAAAAATGAGAATATTTAGGAACATAATAAATCGATTTATCTCGTCATGTAGTTCATATTTTCGCGTTCTGAGAGCGGAAAACGCATTTTTTGAATGCGTAGATTCCGAATCACACGGAAAAAATAGGTTTTAATAAGAAAAATAGACAATTTATGAAGTAACAAAGCACATAGTATTATAAAAAAGAAAAACATTTTTCTCATATGAAAGAAAATATAACGTATTTTTTACAGAGCGTAGGTATATATCGAGCCAATTCACACCATAAATTCTTTTCTCGTTCTCGGGCCTATAAACAACCTGAGGTGCACAACAATATTAACTTATACTGCTGTTATCTGGATTTGAATCCTCAATTGAGAGAATTCCAGATAACTTCAGTATAAACAAACCATATACATGTTTCCTCCTTGCTTCTAGGCCAAGCATAACAAGTACATTACCTTAGAGCAAATCTCATTCGGAGTTTCTCATTTAATGAGAGACTCCGAATGAAATTTGCCTATTTGATTAATATTGTGCTTTATGAGATGCAAATTCTGATGATAAATATTGATCTAGAGCTTATATAAGATGCGAAGAAACTTCAAAAAAAGCTAACCGGTAAAGACAGCAACTTGCAACACCAAGTTGCTCACGTAGTGATTACAAGCATATCTGCAAGGCAAAGTCCTCAGGATGCAGAACTTTGCCTGCAATCAGAAAAGAGATTGCAGCAGAGTAACCGGTAAAGACAGCAACTTGCAACACCAAGTTGCTCACGTAGTGATTACAAGCATATCTGCAAGGCAAAGTCCTCAGGATGCAGAACTCTGCCTGCAATCAGAAAAGAGATTGCAGCAGAGTAACCGGTAAAGACAGCAACTTGCAAAGTCAAGCAGTTTCTGAGATTTTGATTTATAAATCATAAACCTTCATGCTTGATGATTTTGTAGAATTGTTAACTCATGTCATCAGTTAATGCTCACCTAAGGGAGGTGTTTTGCGGGAGCTGGGGGTATCTTGGTGAGTACTCAGGAGGCCAAGAAGGGCACCCCAACCGACATTTTGCTGATGGATTGAGTTCGCAACCATTTTTATAACCGTAAAAACCGTCGGGACAAAACAACTTGAATAATTGAATTTTTTAATGATAATGATTGTGAAATAACATGTAACTATAATTTAAGAATGCCATATTTTTGTTAAAAAAAATTTCGAAAAGTGAGAGATTTTCCGTTCTAATAAATATATTTGATAACCGGGGCGTCCCCCGGAATCAAATAAATTATCATATCGAGAATCGGAGATCCTTGCAGTTTCGATTTTTTCGAAAAGTGAGAGATTTTCCGTTCTAATAAATATATTTGATAACCGGGGCGTCCCCCGGAATCAAATAAATTATCATATCGAGAATCGGAGATCCTTGCAGTTTCGATTTTTTCGAAAAGTGAGAGATTTTCCGTTCTAATAAATATATTTGATAACCGGGGCGTCCCCCGGAATCAAATAAATTATCATATCGAGAATCGGAGATCCTTGCAGTTTCGATTTTTTCGAAAAGTGAGAGATTTTCCATTTTAATAAATATATTTGATAACCGGGGTGTCCCCCGGAATCAAATAAATTAGCATTACTAACATTCCTTTTTTATTTAAAATTTTCAATTCTTAAAACAAAGTTTTACTTCTATTTAATTATTTGCCATGAAAGTATAGAACATTAAAAATTTATCCTACTACCTCCACCCTTATAATACCTTCAAAAAAATTATATCTCAATTTATTTTCTATCTTTATATTGATGTGCTTATTCAAAAACACTAAATCATAAGTCTTCAGTTCTCAAAATACTCTCAAATTATCTCATTGCGCATATTTTGAAATTTGATAATTTTAAATTGTTAAAAAATTCATTAATCACAGTAAAATATCTATATACAACAATTAACTAACTGATTTCACATCTTGAACATTCGCATTTATTTAATATATTTGAATATCATTTACATCTTATTGAATTAGATCATAAATCACAGTTCCTTAATATACTATCTAGCTAACCATTATTGTTGCACAACTTACATTTGATTAAACACACGTGTATAATTCTGTACAACTCATATCTCTATCAATACTTTATTTATAATCAAAACAAAGGTTAAAATTGTATACCCTGTCACTGTAGAGTATTCTCCCAACTTTAAAGTGAAAATCAAAATTTGATATTTTAGTAATTTCATGTGAGATCGTTATTTTATAGGAAAACATACTGAAAATGTTTATAAGATGTTTCTCTATCATATGCCAAAATATCATGGCTTAAATGCTCTCCTAAGTGTCTATAACTGAATTTTAGGGCAATAACCTTATTCTAAATGTTGGGAAAGTAGGGTATTCTAAACATTTGAAGAATTGTAAAATGAATAATGCTTTATTACTATGTCTATAGTGGGGTAGATAAAATGGTTATATATAGCAAATAATTGTCATAAAGTTTTTTGTTCATTGAAATTGCGCAATTTCTGACAAATAACAAAAAAAATCGTGTAAATTGTAGATCCAAATATTTCATTATCTTATTTTTAAGGCTATTGGCCGCACCTAATTCTATGAGTCATATTCAATTCTGACACAATCTGACAACATTTCAATACTGTCCTATTGAAATCTAATGGATTGTGTACAATACTCTTTTTTAGAAAAATAAGATATGATAATGACATTCAAATAATATTTCTTTTTTTGAATACATTGAAAAAAAAAGTCTAAAGATTTTTTATGGAGCAAGTCAAGAAGGGAAAGCTTATTATAATTAAAAGAGATCCTCCTAAAAATAGAACATCGGATGATTACTCTGAGTTTAGGAAAAAAATGGATGATCGTCGAAGAAAAGTAGGAAAATTATATTCATATGTTGAAAATTTTCTAAATTCATTTCCCAAACTTAAACGTCGTACAGATATCATGCATCTTGCAATAAAGATAAGCGAACGGCTACATATTCCTATAGACAGAAATGCAAAGAGATTAAATGAACCATTAATATGCTGGTTCTGCGAAAATTGGTTCCAAGTTTATAAGTATATCCTACCAGTATATATTGAAATGTATGCTCAACCAGAAACTCAAAATTCAAATGTGCAAAATCTTGGAAAAGATCAAGATTTTCAAAGACTTGATCAAGAGATTCAAAAAATCATGCAAGAAATTGGTGATATGGATCAGTTTAATTTAGATGAAAATATCGATAAAATTACAAGATCTGTATCAAGTGATATTCCAAGCCAGAATGATCAATAATATTATTTGAATATTATTTTTCATGTTTTTTATTATGCTTATTTTATTTTTCATATAATTCTTTGTAAATTGTATATTATTTTGTATAATATTAAGAATTTGCTTTAATTCCAGCAATATTAAGCATCATTATTATAATTCAAGCGAAACTTATTAGAAGATTTGAATTAATTCATTTTTGAAAACCTTTGTTTAAATTTAAGAGATTCATTATGAGATAATATCGCTGAACTAAAGCAACTAGCATCTGGAATATCGAAGTATTTCTAAGTAAAAATTTAAATAAAAAGAAAGAAATTTATTACACATTAATATTAGTCTTAGTCAACTTCTTCAACACGTGGGCCAGAGCCAGAAGATGGGTGAGCAGCACTTGCACCTGGAGCAGCACCACCCATGTTCTGGAACATAGATGGGTCAACACCACCTGGCATTCCGCCGGCACCACCAGCAGCAGACTGGTAGGCCTTCTGCATGAGTGGCATCAACTGACCTTCGACTTCCTTCTGCTTTGCTTCGAAGTCAGCTGTTGAAGCGTCCTGGTTGGATTCGATCCAAGCGAGTGTGTCATTGACAATCTTGAGAATGGCATCCTTGTCAGCAGCATCGATCTTAGAGCCGAGTTCGCCGTTGACAGAGTTACGAACACCGAAGCAGTAACCTTCGAGACCGTTCTTTGCTTCGATCTTCTTCTTGGCTTCTTCATCCTGAGCCTTGTATTTCTCAGCATCAGAAACCATGCGGTCGATATCTGCCTGGGAAAGACGGCCCTTGTCGTTCTTGATTGTGATCTTCTTGACGTTACCTGTGGAACGGGATTCACAAGGAAACTGAGTATGTCTGTTCCATTTTTGCGCTCTGCTAGCTGAATAAGGGCTTTTCTGAATGAATTTGTCTTGTTTTTTTCATTGAATAAATCAGAAATTTGAGAATACTTAGAAATGTATGGAATTGCTGCTTGGAATTGCTCAGAATATTTAATAAAAATGATTGCTACCTCTGTTGCGTATTTGTTGTAGTTATTTTTGAATTCTGTGAGAAAATCCTGATGAACTTTCTGAATTTTTGGTATTTCCTTGATTATTACATCCATATCTTGATCTGTTAGCAGTTTTTTAGATCGTATTTCTGGAACCCAGAAGTTAGTTATGCTTTCGAGAGTTGACAAATAATTTGACTCTGTATCCATTATTTCAGAGACCAAAAGAACTCTTTTTTGTATTCTTGATATGTCTTGGTTTGATAGCGTGCAGTGAAATGTAATTTGTGTCGATTTTGCTTCTTGAAATAACTCTTGAACAGTTCTCGATCTTTGAATTTCAGCATCATTTGCAGTAAACTTAATAGGAGAATTTTCAATGTCCAGGAATTTGGAAGCAATTGGTAGAAAATCATCTATCGATAAATTCATTTGTTCTGGGAGAATTTGAATTAGAAACTTAGGGATTTCATATGGTGAATTTGAATTAACGTTTGCGTATATCCATTTGGTATTTTTGCTCAATAAGGAAATCGGTAATAAAGTATATTCAGGTTGCCGATATTTATTTGGCTTTTGATCTTGTAAAATAAATGGATATGACTCTAGGAGAATAATGTTGTCATCAATGGCTTCTTGAAACGTTCCATATCTAACCCCCAATAAGTTATTTTACTGGCGAAGCTGCAATCTAATATCTTTAACACTTTTGTTATTTAAATTAGTTGAGTCTATGAATTCCAAAGCTGCTCCTGGCCTTGTGAAGCAGACATAGCCTTTGGACATTTTTGTGAATTAAAAGTGTATATGTATGTTCAAATTTCAGAACTTTATAATAAGTAAGAAATTATACTCCCATGTATTCTAAGTATTTTTTTAATCGGAATTAGTAAAATGTAAATAAAAGTGTCAGTTATGCCAGGAATTGATATATCTATTTTGTATTATTGTTTGATGATTATTATCACTATTCATTTTTACCGTTTTCCTAAAAGGAATAACTTCATCGGCAACAAAGACATCGACCAAAATTGTGCTCATTATGCTAGATATATGAAACATAGTAATAGTGTGTATGGATTCATTGAATGACTTCTTTTATATTTTGAAGTTCTTTAATATCAATATTTTGCTTGAAAATTCAGTGGAAAATTATTGAATTATGAAGATAAAAGAAAATGTCGGTCAAGAATAGCAAAATTCGAATTTAAGAAAGTAAATTGTTTATTGATGAGATTGCTTTCAGATATTTTTTTGAAGAAACACTTTTCTTAGTTTTCCTTTCTACGCCTGCATATAAAATTTTCACAAATAAGGATTTGTAATCAAAAAAATTGTTAGAATTGGGGAAATAAATTGTTAAATCTTAGATCATATTAATCATTTCTTCTAACAATTACATTGTGGTAACAATGGCTGTGCATGATAGTTAGAGTATTGTTAAATTGTACGATATTTTGATAAGTTTCAAAAACGATAAATAGTATGTTCAAATATATTAGAATTTAATGATATGGATTAGGGTTAACTGTAAACAATCGGCATCAAGTGTTTGATGAAAATCTATACCAATATTTAAAATTTTCGATGCTTTTTTGACTGAAATCAATTGTTTTGATCACCTGGAATGAAGTTCTCCTTGGTGAATTTCTCCAAATTTTTTCTATTTTCGAAAATGTCCAAGCAAATTTTTAGAAAATGAAATCGTTTTTTTTAATTCTGCATTTTTTTTGGAAAATGAGTTAAAAATTCTTGAAGATTTAAATTTTTTATCAAAATAAAGGGATTTTATTGTATTCCAAATCAATAGATACTTTTTACTTTTGTTTTCCATTATTATTTAATAAATAGCTTGTTTAAATTTTTCAATTTTTTTCTCATATTATTGAAATATGAAGATTTTAATAGAAATGACCCTTAACGCATCAATATCGAAATGTCATATTGGTTTTTATAAATTTATTAGCAATTTTTATAAATTTATATAGATTTATCTCAGAAAATAGATATATAATATAATAGTACTCTATAAATTTATTGGTGATCTTGAAGCTCTCTCAAGATTTTGACGAAAAGTTCTGCATCGCATTCTTTGACAACAAGGCATCCTTTTTCATCTGGTTCTGCAAGGGACATACCTAATTTTTCACCCTCTAAAACCATTGAAAGGTGGAGACGCTCGGCTCTCTTGATGGCCCTATCTCCGTAAACTGCAATAAAAGCAGCAAGAGGGTCTGCTGGGCAGATTCGACCGCCATCAAATGCAATAATTGGTTTCCATGTTTCCCTGATGAATCTACGTACTAGATTTCCATCTAAATTGAAGAAATCATAGTCATTTGCGTTAAATGAGTTGAAAACAGCAAGTGTCCATGAAGCAATTGTTGTCTGGTATTGTGGATATGTCTGTAAAACGATTTGCGCGGCTTCTGGGTCGGCTCTCCAGTTGAATTCTCCATATGGTGTAATATTTCCTTTCCCATTTTCAGCTCCACCCATAATGTAGAAGTGCTTGATCTTAAGGATTGCTTCTGGAGCCATGCTCAATGCAATAGCAATATTTGTCAAAGGGGCCAGACAAAGAATGTTAAGATCCTCAATAGTATTAGCAGCATGAATGAGTGCATTAACTGCATGCTCTTTTTCGAGTTTATTTGGTGTATTTGTGCCGAAATCGTTATCATTAATATCGCCAAGACCATCGCCACCATGAATATGTGGTATTTCCATCTTTGGCTGAACAAGAGGAGCTTGGCAACCTCCAAAAATCGGAATATCGGTCTTTCCCCATACCTTAAGAGTTCTATTGACGTTTCTGATTACATTCTGAAGTGATGCATTACCACCAATGCATGAAATGCCAACAATTTCAATGCTTGGGTTAGCAAGACAGATAAGAATGGCCGTTGCATCATCTATTCCACAATCAGTATCAATCCAAAGTTTCATAATGTCAGTTTTCCCGATAGAATCCGTAGTTTTACATCAAAAATTCAGTCTCCAAATTATGTTTTACATATGAACGATCTAAAGATATACACATAGCTCTATATTCTATTTCTCAAATTCAAATTTATCTCCAAGAATACCTCAAAAATCTACGAAGTATTATGTAAATAATAATTGTACTAAAAATGTATCACTCATGATTCTCAAATTACCAATAGTTGGTTAATTGAATTTTTATTTTCCTATTTTATTGGAATGCCAAAATAATTCGATAGAATTTGTAATGAAAATGTCATCAAAAAACACTATTTCATGTCAATTTCGTGATTTTTAATAAATCCAGATAACAACAATTTTTCAGAGTCATTATCCATCAAATGTTTGTTAACACTAACATTTGCTTCGAAGAATTATGAACGTAAATTATCAGAACAAGAAATTTTATTGATAGTTTCAAATTTGCGAGGTTACATAATGGAAACTATCAAGAGTTATGAGTGTGTTCTAGGTTTTGGGTTACAGGTATATCATGTTCATATTCTGTATTTAAGTAAAACATATTCTGTGTTACAAATTTTGAAAAATTTGCGATGGATTGTCCTTTTTAAAACGAGTTGAGTCCACATTTATACAACAATAAGCAGAACCACTCTGATTCATTTGAAATAGGACTTTTGTTTTACAAAAAAAGGATAGAGTGAGGTGGATTTATAAGTGGTCACTTTGAACGGTTGTTTTCTCACAAAAATAACAATACGAACATAAGAACTTGGAATTTTTAAATCCTTATTGATTTCTCTATGGATGAAAAGTTATCCTTCAGAAAAAATAATTAATTGAGATGATTCTTCGACCAATCACTGGTCTGAAAATTTGACATAGTATTTTCACTTCACTTTTTCTAATGGCTCAAGCATTCAACAAGAGCAAGAAAGTTCAGGCCTTTGTCGACGAGTTCGTCGCCCTCTGCAAGCCAAAGGATGTCATGTGGATTGATGGCTCCCAGGAACAAGCAGACATGCTTTTCAAGCAAATGGTTGACTCCAAGATGGCAATCAAGCTTAACCAAGAGAAGCGCCCAGGCTGCTACCTCTACCACTCCGACCCACGCGATGTTGCTCGTGTCGAGTCCCGCACATTCATCTGCTCCAAGAACAAGGAAGATGCTGGACCAACAAACAACTGGGAAGACCCAGAAGTCATGAAGAAGAAGCTCCGTGGTCTCTACGCCGGCTGCATGGAAGGCCGTACAATGTACGTCATTCCATTCTCCATGGGTCCAATCGGCTCCTCCATCGGCAAGAACGGTATCGAAATCTCCGACTCTCCATACGTCGTTGTCTCAATGAGAATCATGACACGTGTTTTCACAAAGGTTCTCGAGTGCATTGGTGAGGATGGCGACTTCATCCCATGCGTCCACTCCGTTGGTTACCCACTCAAGGACGGCCGCCAGGATGTTGCATGGCCATGCGACCCAGAGAACACATACATCACACACTACCCAGAAGAGCAGACAATCTGGTCCTATGGCTCAGGCTATGGTGGCAACGCTCTCCTCGGCAAGAAGTGCTTCGCTCTCCGTATCGGCTCCAACCTCGCCCGCAAGGAAGGCTGGCTCGCTGAGCACATGCTTATTCTTGGCGTCAAGAACCCAGAAGGCAAGAAGACATTCGTCACAGCTGCCTTCCCATCAGCTTGCGGCAAGACAAACTTCGCCATGTTGATCCCACCAGAGGAACTCCGCAAGAAAGGCTGGGAAGTCACAACAGTCGGTGATGATATCGCATGGATCAAGCCAAACAAGGATGGCGAACTCCGCGCTATCAACCCAGAAAACGGTTTCTTCGGTGTTGCCCCAGGCACAGCCATGAGCACAAATCCAAACGCTCTTCTCTCCTGCGCTCGTAACACAATCTTCACAAACGTCGCTCTTACAGACGACGGCGACATCTGGTGGGAGGGCATGACAGAGGAGAAGCCAGCTCACCTTATCGACTGGCAGAACAAGGACTGGACACCAGACTGCGGCCGTGTCTCATCACATCCAAACTCCCGCTTCGCTGCTCCAGCTGCTAACTGCCCATGCATTGACCCAGAATGGGAGAACCCAGCCGGTGTTCCAGTCTCCATCTTCGTCTATGGTGGCCGCCGCATGAACGATATCCCACTCGTCTTCCAGGCCACATCATGGGCTCACGGTGTTTACCTTGGTGCTACAGTCGGCTCTGAACAGACAGCTGCTGCTGAAGGCCAGGTTGGCGCCCTCCGCCGCGATCCATTCGCTATGCTTCCATTCTGCGGCTACCACATGGGTGACTACTTCAAGCACTACCTCGAGATGGCCAAGCTCGCCAAGACACCACTTGTCTTCCACGTCAACTGGTTCCGCAAGTCCCCAGCTGGCAAGTTCCTTTGGCCAGGCTTCGGCCAGAACGCTCGTGTCCTTGGCTGGATGGTCAACAGATTCTACGGCAAGGCCCCAGAGCACATCTCTCCACTCGGCTACGTCCCAGAGTACGAGGATATCGATTGGGAAGGCCTCAACTTCACAAAGGAACAGTTCGAGGAAGTCATGCACCAGGATAAGGAGAAGATCAAGGCCCAGGTTGCTGCTAACGATGACTACCTCATCAACAAGATCGGCCACGTTTCCCAGGAACTCCTCGAGGTTTCCAAGGAAATCCTTAAGCGCTGCGAGTAAATCTTTCTAGCTTCTTTTTTTGATTATTCTTAATTCGCTTTCGTTTTTAATTCCATCTAAAGAACTCTAAAAATTTCAAGATTTGAGCAATGCAATTTTGGATGTTAGCATTTTCAAGTAGTGAAATGCAAATCATTGTAAGAGTTAAATCATTTTATCCTTTCTTTTTTGAAATTCTAGGTATTAATTTTTTTCATTCAAAATTGATGACATATATCATAATATTGATGAACTTTAAATGAAATATAGCATTCTGATAATATAACACTGGGTATTAATGTTTGGTTATGCAATTGAGAATTTCTAAACGTGCACAAGAAATGGAGGAAAAGGGAGACCTTTCTCTTCGTTTTGTTTATCCTAAGTGGTTAGGTCATGGTGGCAGACCTATATCTACAGTAGATATCCATCCATCTGGCGAGCTTTTTGCTACAGGTGGCTGGAATAATTTTTGCAAAATTTGGAGTTTTCATGCAATTACAGATTCCTCACAGAACGTCAAAAACAAACTTCTAGCTGTACTTCGTGATCATACGAAATCAGTCAATATTGTTAGATTTAGTCCTGATGGAAAATACCTTGCAACAGGTGGCGATGATGCAATGATTTTTGTCTGGCAAAAAGTTAGGTGCTTTGGTCAACCATCTACATTCGGTATTCCAGAATCAGAACTACAACCAAATCCTCCTGTTCAAAGGTGGCAATCGAAATCATTTTCAGGACATACTGGTGATGTTACTGGTGTTTCCTGGTTCCCTGATTCTACGAGAATTGCATCATGTTCTTTTGATGGAACAATTATTGTTTGGGATGTTAAGTCTGCTACGAAACTCTATCAGCATCAAACATCACAATCAGTTGGTATAGCATCTGTTGCTATTGACCCTCTCGGAAAATTTATAGCTTGCCAATTGTTGAATGGAAAATTCGATATTTACGATCCAAGCGCTAACTTTAGCCGTGAATATGGCTCCGAATTTACTCAGCCAGATCAGGCTCTCGTTTCAAGAATCTGTTGGACTCCTGATGGCTCATTTATTGGAATGACCTCAGCCAATTCAGGTGGATATGTCTGTCCCTTCTTCCGCCGTGAATCATTTACATTTGGATTTATGCTAGAGGGCCATATCGCTCCTACGTGCTGCATTTCATGTCCGCCATTTTTATTCAGAAACAAAAATGGATCATATTCCTCTATTATGGCATGTGGTGATAAGAGTGGCGTTATTTCCATCTGGTTGGTTGGAGAAGATACTAGACCGCTTGTAGTTTTGGACGGAATTTCGACATCTACAGTTAATGATTTACGCTGGTCTAATGATGGCCACTGGTTATTTGTTGCCCTTGAAAATGCTCCAATCACACGTCATGGTGGCATTGTTGCTTTTGATTTATCAAAAGCTCACGATTTAGAATTAGTCGATCAAGAGTCCATGGAAGAAATTAAATCACATTTAATTGGAGAAAATACATTCCGTGCAAAATTGTCCAACAATATTAATAATGCAGCCCATTTACTGCACAGTTTAGATGCCGAAGAAAAAGATGTTGACTTTGAAGTCCTCCAACTCACTCCTGCTGAGGTTTTAGAAAGACAAAGTACAATAACCAAGGATGGAATCACTTATATCACTCCTGTTCTCTTAACAGCTGTTGAAAAACAAACTGTTTCATTTTCTGTTAAAGTTGAGAGTGAATTATTATCAAATGCATCAACAGAATACAATCCAGTTGGATATAACTGGCCAAAACCAGCTATCTTAGAAGGAATCGTTAACAAGGCATTAGATATCAATAATTATCATATAGTTTCCTATGCAGGATACTTGATAAAACTCGATAAGAAAACAGGAAGAAGGCTCAGTACTCCGTATTTAATTGGAGGAGTTTGCAGACACCTGAGTTATGATGAAGGACAAATATTAGCCGTTGGAAACAGATGCTGTGTTATCGAACTCGATTCAATGAAAGAAGTAATGAGCTGCAACTGTCCGCCAGAATTCAAATCCTTCTCTTTATACCCCTCTGGAATTATTCTCGCCATTTCGAGGGGAAGAGTTTGGACATGGGACACAGATTTCAACTGCTGGAGAGGAGGAGCACTCAGTGGGGATGCAAGCGATCTGACAATTGAGGAAATAGAGAAGAGCTTGGACGATAAAAGCATTTGCAGATTTGATCTCGCAATTTCTGCAACTTTCAACGAATTCATCGGAATGCCAGAAAGAACTGATGAATTAATAGAGAAACTTAAATTAAATAAAGATCATCCTGATACAGGTAAATTCATTGACGCCCTAGTCAGAAATGTTCAGAAGAGATGGCGCAATTGAGTTCTTATATTAATTTTTATATATAAAATAACTTGTAAATGATTTAATAATAATTTAACACAGATTAACGATTTTTAAAACTCTATACTCTATTATATTGCAGGTCTCTTGCAAATATCTTTGACCATGATTTCATGGTAATAATCGATTGCGTTTTCTGGATCGTAAACACTAGGCGAATCAGGATGTCGTTTATAGTTATTCTTCTTGTAGAAATTGTATGCCCCTTCATTGTTCTTCAATACACAAATAATACCCATTTTCATTGTAATCAATTCAGTACACTGGAGAAGATACTTTCCAAGACCATGACGTTGGAATTTCGGCCCTATCTGCAACTCATAAACATATGTATGCGAGATATTCTATTCAAATTCGAATCTGATGTGAACAAAACCACAAAGTTCTTCCCCTTGTCTAAGAACAATAAATCTGACCGATTTATCCCTAAGTTCATTTAGCTTCTTTGTTTCGTTCCATCCCCATGAATCTTCATAGATTTGATGCAAATTTCTTTCTGTTAAATCTAAAGCCCATTTTAAAAGATCTTGATCAAGCTTAGTGCAGTATGTCGCTGCGACATCTAGACCATTTCTCTTGAATGTTCGCATCATTGGAATCAATTCAAGTAAATCTTGTTTTGCTTCAGCATCTACATCAGATCTTCTCATTTTATTGAATGCCTCGGTTTTTGCCTTATCAGCTTGCCTCCTTTGTTCTTTCTTGGTAAGCTGTGGATGCAAAGATACATTTGACATTTTTATGCAATGATATGATAGGTATGCATTGAATATTTACGATCATTTTCAATTAAATTTCAATTCAAATTTTTTTTGAAGCGATTTATAACCAAATATTTTGATGTATTTCCTTAGAACATCTTCCAAAAGATCAATTTGGCATTTGCCAATTTTTCAATTATTATAACTTTGAATTGACGTAGCTTCATGGCATCGCTTGTCGGGGACATATACACAGGATTCATGGACTATAAGAATGCATACGAAAATCCTAAACTCATATGGACCTTGATTGGCGCCATGTTTGCGCTTGTTTCACTATTTGCAATTACACCTGAACCTTATGAAATTTACAAGAATCGAACAAACTTCGGACTTTCACCTCTTTTTACATTTGCTAATCATATGAGTATGTGGCTCTTAGTAATAAACTTTTTATGCCTAAATTATCACGAATTAGTCGGAATTTTTCAACACAGTTTTGCCGAAACTATACCATCATTAATTGTTTTTGTAGAATTTATTGGCCAGTGGCTTAGTTTTATGCCAACCGTTTTCATGATGCTTCATTATGATGATCGAGAGCACAACAAAGATGAATCAGAGAAAACAAAATTTATACACAAGCTTATTAATAATGGCTTAGTCATTCTCAACGTATCTTTGGTCATTATAATGATCGGCTTCTGGCTTTTAGTCGGAATGTTTATTAGTTTTGAATGCAGCATCATAAACTACTATGGACAAGTATGCGGATTTGTATCCACTGTACTAGTCTTTATCCAATATGTTCCTCAGTTTATTATGACAATTAAAATCAGAGATAATGGATCATTATCGCTACTTATGCTTGAAATTTTAGGTCCAACTGAAATTATGAATGGAATCTATATGGCTGTTGTCTTGAAAGAAGAATGGTCAACCTACCTTGCAAGCTTTGCAGAGGGAACATTCCAACTATCCCTACTACTATTATGTATAATGTTCAAGATATACAACAAAATCAAGAAACCAGCTCCAAATTTTCCAAATTTATCTTCAACAGTATTATCACCTATCATTCCAGTCAATATACCATAGAATTGACAATTCTTATGTAATATACATATACCATTTTAATAAATAGATTCTATTAAATTATTTGCAATAAATTAACTTTTTTTAAGATTAAATTCAAAAATAAGGATAATTAATGAAATATATAACCAAGAGTTTTATTTAAGCTTCAGAAGATTTATTTTTTTCTTCCTCATTAGAGTTGTCTTCATTATCATCTTTCTTTTCTGCAAAGAACCACATTTTCTTCTTCCAAAGGAAGAAACCAGCAACAGCTACTCCTGCTATTATTACTATAACAACAATAACAACAGCTGCTATCCATGCTTTGCTTGATGAGAGATTCTTCTTCGTTGGCTTAACTACATTGGCACTAATGGAGTTTGAGAGCGTTGCTACATCATCGACTGTGACCATTTTTGTTGTGTTAACCCTCATAGATACAGTATTCAAATCTGCGGAGAAATCTTCGCCTTTAATTTCAAGGAATTGTGTGAATGTTTCACCTAAGTCGTTTGAAGCAGGACCAAGGTAAGCATCTGTATATTTGAAGAAATCTTTTGTATTAACGCCAGCTGCAGAGAGTAATGAATCAAATGTTGCATCTTCATTCTTTGCGAATGCTTCAACTGCCTTGGCAACATTCTTAGCAGCCTCAGCAACTCCAGAACCAGTTGAAATACAGTTAATTAAGCCATTAAGTGACTGCTGGTTTTCAGTAAGGTTCTTAATATTCTTCATTGTTTGAGCTGGATTAATTCCCATAAATGTGAAGTCTGCAAATGCCTCTCCAAAGTTCTGTCCATTCATCATTTTCTGAAGACCAATAATGAAGCTTGTTGTTGATTGAGGATCAGAAGTTTTTCCGTAAATATCGGAAAGCTTTGGATTCTTGTCAAAATCAATTTTTTGAAGCTTTTCAAAGAAATCAGTTGCAGTTTCTTTAATTGGAAGGTAAAATCCAAGCTTCTTCAATAATTTTGTGATTTCTGCAAAAAGTCCAACTATGTTCTCTGATTTGTATTTATTGAAACCAAAGAAATCGAGTACTGTAACAACTCCATTGACAGGTGACAATATTTTAATCAATTCCTTTGTTTCGTTCAATAGCTCTCTTACTTGATCTCCAACTTCCAGAACTGTTTTAGCTACATCCATCATTTCTTTAACAATGTCAACTACCTGAGTGGTTGTTTTGACAGCTGTTCTAACACTGTTGTAGAATTCTTCAGGTGTCTGTGGAGCTTCAAAGAAATCCATACGCATTTGTCCAATTGCGAGTATTAATTCCTTTGTTGAAACACCAGATCTTGAAATTGCCCTGATTATTGTTCCAGCACTTTCTAAACTGACGTTTAATGGAACTGATCCAACTATTGAGCGTCCTTTTGTTGATGCCTTTGCTGCAAATTCAACACCAAATAGGAATGTTGTCATTGATTCAACGGAGAAACCTTTATCGATGAAGCTTTGAAGGCCATCTACTGCAACCTGAAGCAATTTAACGCTTTCTTTGACTTCATTGCTAATTTGGGTATCAGCAAGTAGATCATTGTACAATTGGATGATATCCTTGACTTTCTTTACGATATCCTTATTTGACTTAGGAATTGTTCTTGTAAATGGTTCAAATATAAGCAAACAAATGTGCTTTGTTAAGAGTTTGACTGCTTCCCAAGATCCAAATGCATAATCAACCATGTAGTTAAGTTCCCTGAAAAGTTCTGCAATTGTAATCTTATCATCACTGACCATCTTAGGAATGTCAGCAATGAGATTCATAACAACATCTTTCTCGTAGAATATGTGAGAAGGAGCATCTTCTAATAGGAATGTATCTTTCTTTGTGAATATGAAATTAAAAATGTCAAACATGTCATAAATAAATCCCGTGCCAAGCTTAAGACCATCAAGAAGATCCACAAGTTGTGCTTTGTCTGGGTTTTCCTTTAAGTTTGTAACGAGTTCATAGAGTTTGTCTCCGTCAAATTCAAGAATGTTTCCAAGGGACTTAATATACTTTCTATTTTCATATAGTAATTCAGTCAATGTTTTTCCGTTGATCTCTTTACCCAAAAATGTATCCATTCCAAAGTCTGGATTTGTTAAGAGAGTTGTATTGACAATGTACTGGGAAACATATTCATGAAATTCATTTAATTCTGTTGTATTCTTATATACGTTTGTTAAAAGAGAATATAATGGAGCTTTTGGTTTGAAGAAAGTATTAATCATCTCTTTGATATTTGGCCAATCGTCTTGAAAGGCATCGTTAAGGTACAACCCATCGATAAAAAGGTTGGCATAAAATTGTATATCCGATGATTCTCGTAGATTAGCTCTTTGAAGGAAAAGAGCTAACATAAAATACTTTAATGACCGATAAACTCAGAAAATTGAATCTTAAAACAATTTTGTCAAATTTTTCTTCCAAAATTAAACAATAAATTTTTTATTTATTCATATTTTTATGTAAACTACATGCTTTTAATAAATTTTTTATTTATTCATACATGTAAATTGAACAGAATTTTGACCGTGCTTGTATTTCGTAAATATTCAATTTTAATTTTTAGGAATACACACCTTTGCTTCGCCCTTATTAATTTGAACGAAATATTTCACCATAATTCTTTGGAAGAAAATTTTGTTTAAGTAAGGGTTTCGTTTTGCGAAAAAAACGTACAATACGCAATTTCGCTAAAAAAACATTTAGCTAGCAATTTCGACCTTTGACTCCACTCAAGACGTCACTTTTTTAATTTTGCGGTATCATATTTTTGGAAAATCTTTATGAATATTATATAAAAAGTCTCTTTAATATCTATATTTCATATTTTTATCGATTTTTAAAGTTTTTGCGAAAAGTATTCAATTATTTTTGCTATTTGGTCGGGGAAATGTCAGATTTGCGACATTTTCTGATATGATATTCAGATTCTACGTTGATAATAATGCTTATAAAACCCTCTTGCTATTGTGTCAAAATTGCGAAACCGATAGCAAAAATATCTCGCAATATCAAAATTGAGATATTGAGTGAATTATGCATTATAGAGATTAAAAATCTGATTTGTGAAAACATCTCATCAGTTTCTAGCTAATTCAAAAATCTTTACTATCTTATTCGATTAAAATGAAAAGGGAATAGTTTCATTATGCTTTAAATGACAGCCTTATAATATAATCATAGTTTTCGCTCAATATGCAGCATTTTTTTTTCGAAATCTATGGTCAATGTCCTAAATACTGATTGCTTTGCATTCATATCTCTTACATTTTCTATACCCACATCACTATTCATTGCTATTCCTATCTTTTTCATTTTTGTTTGTTTCTCATAATTTCTCAAAAAACATGATAACTTGATATTTGTAAATATCATACTTTATAACGTAAATAAGAACTTGACCTATTAAGAAAAGCAGTAATGAAAAGAAAATCTGAAATTCATAAAAATTACAAGTTTCTGATGACAATTAGCTTAATTAAACCAGGGACAAGATTATATAATTGTATTTTCTATCCAATTATCCATATAATATCTTATCCAGAAAAAATAACTTGATCAATACCAAATGATTTTTTAACTAGTAAATAAAGTATTTTCTTTACACACACATTGTATATCATAGTTTTTTTTTTTGGTTTCGCAAAACATCCAAAAACAAATATGCTATAAAAGTGACAATTTTAGCAAAACGAAACCCTTAGTTTAAGCGGTTTCTTTATCAATCATGAATGTTGCATGCTAAGTTCGGTCAATGATAGAAATTGAGTGGAAATTAATCGTCGAGGAAGTACGATTATGTAAAGTAAAAAAATGTTGTGGGATTTTTAATATTATATATTATTTTATAATAAAATTTTTTTGAGTCATTTTAAGAAGCACATATAATTTTTTGAATTTAAAAATTAAAGTAGTGTCAAACAAATTTATCACTTAATTTAATACTCAGATTTCTTAAAATTAATGAAAAAAAGGTTTTCTGAGAACTTTTGAGAATGGTTTTCAAATTCCATTATTGAAAATATATAGGTATTGTATGAAATTCAAACTCTATATTTATTAAAATTCTAAATTTTTAATAAAATAACTTTTCAGAGGAATATGATTTTGAATGGTTGATTAATAAGTATAAAAATGTCTACGATTTTAAGGAGGGAATTGTTCCTTATGAGGTATACATCATAACTATATACCTCATAAGGAACAATTCCCTCTTGATAGCTGGGAAACTTTCTCTGAATAACTTATCATTTGGAGAAAGTTCCCCAGCTATCTATTAGGAACTAAAGGCTATGAGGCACTAATATATAATCAGTGCCTCATAGCCTTTAGTTTCCTATTAAAAACGAGAAAACTTGTTCGAAATGATAAACAATTTCGAACAAGTTTTCTCATTTTAAGGAGGGAATTGTTCCTTATGAGGTATACATCATAACTATATACCTCATAAGGAACAATTCCCTCTTGATATCCTGGATATTTTTGAATATATTTTTTTAATTAAAGTTCTCAAAAGTATTATCAAAAGTGATTTTTTTAAAATATCTCCAATTAATTAACTAATTAAAAGTATTATATTTTTAAAATTAAATAGTTTTTCAATTTTTTTGAAGGAATTGAGATACTTCCCACGACAATAAAATTGAGAGGTTTACATTATGACTGATCTTAGCATACAACATCATATGTGTTAAACTATTATCCTGGGCCCCTTGTTGTCCAACCGAATGTAGTTGAAGCCAAAAATGCTTTAATTCATTTTGTTGCTGCCTGTGATCGAACATATACCATAATTCTTGATGCAGAACCATCTTATAATATGAACTATACTATTTACAATATTAAATCTGGTAAGTTTGAGAGTCAAATGCTTCAAAAATCAAATACAATTAAAGTAAAAGCAGACGAAGCCTTAGTTATTACATCAAAGAGTCTCTTTTTATTACAAAAGTTGGAGGTGACATCAATAACTCTTGAAACAATACTTGATCGCCAATACACATTCAATTATGGTCCATACTATAAAACTACGCAATACAACATCTTCAACGATGCAAAGGATGGAAACCAAAAATCTAGTAATGCAAGCCCAATAACCATTACAGAACTCACGCCAGGTGTAGTTGACATCATGTTTTATGGAGGCATGAAAGAATTCGATGTCAAGGCAAACACGATTGTAACCATCTGCAGGACAAAAGGACAAGCAGGTGTGACAGGTTCTGCTGATGGCAAAGAGTTTACTGCAGCTACTTCAATGATAATTTTCAACAAAAACGGCAAAATTTCATTGAGTTCAAGTTTATATCCAGTAGTTAGAGTCTCAATTGTTAAATTCGAAAATCTACCAAAGTTCGAAAAAGTTTTATCATTTTTTGGACCAAAAAAGCTGCGAGTTAAGAATGGAGCAGCCACAGCGACACTAGATGATGTTGTTTTCCCAGAAAGGAAAATCTTGTTTGTTGTTCCAAATCCATACAAAATGAAGCCTGAAGTCTTCAAAACTGGAAATTTCCTTAATTCGACTTGTTATAACAGACAAGGTGAACTCGGTGAATTGTCCGTGTACCCAGGAATGTGCTTCCTGGAATTTTCGAAAGATGCAACGGCGGAAGACTATTTCCAAATTTACTACGATATTAAAAGCGAAAGTCCATATCAAAGCAACTCTTATTACCTAAATGGTACGGAAGGAGTAATGAGTGTTGGCGATTATTCGTCTGCGGGAGTGGATGATAATGAAGATTTTTGGCATAAATACAAGAATTACATATTTATTGCAGTCGGAGTGATTGTTTTGATTGTATTAATTGCAGCCTGTTGCTGTTGCTGCAAGAAGAAAAAGAAAGATAATTACTATTCTTCAGAGTCTTCAAGTGATTATTATTCATCTGAAGTTTAGATTTGTTCTAAAATAAATGCTCTTCTTTTTCCTATACTAAGAAATATCATATTCCTCCAAGGCATTATACTTGCTATGTATGCTAATTGTTTCAACCTGGTTTGTTATATTGGATAACGACCAAACAACATTGGTTTTACGACGTTTGCCATTTCCAGCAGAACATGTCGATATCGTCTTCAGGCGATCAAACAAGGAAGGCTGGGATGAGAAAAACGTTTTAAATAAAACTGTTTCATCAACAATTCTGAAATCACGACGATAAATAAGAATTAAAGCATCCCCACACATTTCATTTACAAGTCCAGCATTGCAATCAGAGACATAAATTTGTTGTTTTATAAATGCGTATACAATTGGTTGAATAAAGATTAGTGAAGAATAGAAAATGCAAAGACTAGCAAAAACTATGAGTGGTATGCAGTCTTTTGGAAGAATGTTAAAAAGAATTGGGGAAGATGAATAAATAATCGAAAAAATTGTGATAAATAGTAGAATATAAATAAAGAAAATAAGATATATCTTTGTTCCATTTCTATTTTTAAGTTCGGAATTAATTAAAACGCCAAGTGAGCTGATATCTTTTTGCGATGATAAGAAAAAAATGTTCTGAGAGATCACTGCAAGTGAACACAGTGAATCCTTTATTTTGTAATCGCAATGTGAGTCCTTTTGATCCGTTTTAATATAAAGTCTAATTTTTTCGGATAAATATTTATGTAAGCCATTATAGTGAGAGCCAATATCTAATGTGTCGGCTACGAAATAATAGTTAAAGGTCTTTTCAAGATGAATTCCGAAAAATCCATAGAAAATGTATAGGATTACTAAAAATATGAAAATGTAAAGCAAAGTAAAATCATCTGTGTATATTTCTTGAATATTTGAATAATTTATATCGCTAGATGATAAGTCATCTGTGAAATTAAGTACATGATCATCTTCAAAAATAAATACCCTACGAAAACTATATGAATTCTTTTTTGAAAGGTGGGAAATGTTAATTATGGAAGCAATAATGAATGAAAATAGAATGAATTTTAAAAATTCTTGATGGAAGAAAAAAAATAAAGATATTTTTGTAAATTTATAAATATTGTCAACATAAAATGTCTCCCATATTTTTTGAGGAAAATATATAAGTATTCCAAATAACGCCATTGTAAAAATGCAAAATTTTGAATTATCATTAAGGGTGCCCTATAACGATAATGTAAACATCACAAAATTAACCTTATTAGAACTCGAATGAATGGATTATCCAGATTCTAGTTCTCAATATAATAGCCTTAAAAGTGCTTTTCTGAGGGTGGTCTATCGTCTATAGGGCACCCTTAAGCGAATTGAACATTTTTTTACAGTTGAGGAGGTAGACTAAGATAGTAATAAAATTTATATTGGTAAATATAATACTTGATACGACTTTTGAGTGAAAGTAATGCTCGCTTATTAATTCTGATTTAAGTTTAACTGGTTCCAGGAGCTTTTCTTCGATGTTAAAATATTCTATCCATAAAACCATATTGTTAATTATCATTGAGAAGGAAATAAAGAGAAGTGGTAGTGATGGTCGAATCATTACCATCAAAGAAAAGAAAAAATATTAATCCGACCAACCGGATTCGAACCAGTGACCCCGGGATAACTACAATTCTACAGTCCCATGCTCTTCCAACTGAGCTATGGTCGGAATACAATAGTAAAAATATTCTATAAATAAGATAAAAATTAAGTTCATAACAATATTAGATCTTTGAATTCAAGGAACGGATGCCCAGCCCGATAAGATCTATCGATATTAAATTTATATGATCTAACTTATGAAATTTGAAATCAAACATTTAAATATATTCGGTTTTGCTTGTCAAATAACTCACTAAGGATGTCAATTTGGAAGAAAAGTGAGAAAATTCCTAAAATGCTAAAAATGAATTTTCCAAACATACTTTTTTATCTCATTTTTTTGATTTTGAAAAAAATTTGGAGAGAAGAACTCTTCGTTTTTGAATTTTGTCACGATGGTTTTAAAGTATATTAGACACATGTATTGGTATTACTATTTTTGTATATTTTGAGAGAAAATCCCTAAAAGTGAGAAATCTGAGACGGTTTGAGAAAATATATAAACTATTGAAAATTTGAATTAAACTTCTAATTTGGAAAAAAGAAATTTGGAAAGAAGAAAATTCAAAAATCGAGATTTAGACTCAGTATCAAATGGAGAACAAAATGTTTCTTCATATGAAGGAAAAAATTTTCTTGAGAAGAAATAGAGTTTTTAAAATTTTATTGTATCTAATGAAATAAACAAATATTAAAATTATTTTTTGATAACAAGAAAATTCCCAACAGAAAATATTTGAGACAAAGAAAAAAAGAAAATTGAACAATATTACTCTCCTTTACATTTCATGAGATTTTCAATTTATTTTCATAAAATTGACAATTTTATACGTTTAGATGAAAATAAGTGATTTTGCTTGAAATAAAAATTATTGTTTGTTTACAGCTATCAAATAGATTTTTGCTATTTTGATTAAAATTTGTTAATCAAATTAATAATTTTTTTTCTAAATATCTTAAATATCTGGATCACTTACTGATACGATGAATTAAACGATAAAAATAATACAAACTCAACTAAGTTTCCTGTCTTTCAACCAAAAAATATTATGCAATTTAAATTAAATTGTTTATTCAAAGATAAAACAAAGATAAAGTAATTATAATTATCATATACTTTATGAATAACTCTCTAATTGGATAAGATTTTCGTACAAATATTTTTATTAATATCGATAAGAATATGTTTACCTACTATCACCATATGTCGATAAACGAGAGTAGAGTGATTTTTATCATCGAAACTTTTTAAAAGCTGTAAGCAGGAAGTAATAATCTTGTTTTTCTGAGTTAGTTGTAGAACTATTGATGCCCGAGTTATCATTGTGATGCAGAAGGATATCAATGTACTGACTGAAGGATATGAATTGAATTGAATTTTATTGAATTTCAATTTGATCAAAATTTGTTGAAATGATATGAATGTGTCAACTTCTGTATCATTCTCCTTCACTCCTTCCTTATTCTTTCGAGAACGAAGCTAGCTCAGCTTTCGCTGAGCGAATTGACACTTTTCATGCCCTAAACGTACATACTCTCAAATTTATCGAAAAAATTAATACCACCTAAACTAGTATATTCTTATTTTAAATATGATATTATCCTTATATTCCACACTAAAATTCATTTAAATCAACTTTTAAAAAAGTTCGAATCCTGCGCGTCTCACTTTTTAAATTTTCCAAATGGAAAATTATATTCTCCTAAAGTGAAAACAATTTTCCAAATTGACTTCCTTAAACTAACTTATTTTAACCTTGTAATATAATATAAATGCTATTTTTTTTATTTACAGTTCAAAATGTTTTCAGTTCCGTAACAAAATATATGCATAATTATTACAAAAAACAATTGCAATATTTCAACTTCATTGTCCTTCAAAATGATATTGAAAATCATTCAATTTTTCAAAACCTTTCAAAAAAGTTCGTAATAATTAATATAACTCAATAACTATCATATTAATTTCGATAAATATTTTCAATTGTCATGACCATTTAAATTTCAATTCTACTCAAAACTAGTTACCAAAAGAAACACCATTAATATTCCTTTTTCCAAAATTGATCTATCTAAATTTTGAGTTTTTCAATGCCTCACAAAATTCTTAATGTAATTAATTTTCTCGATTTCTATATTTTTCTCCTCACATAAATGTTATCATTAGAATTATTTTCATTTATATCTAACCGATTTTTTTCATAATATTTTCAATTAATTGCAATGAAAGTATTCAGCAAGTCATTAGTGAAAATAAAAAAGGGAAGTATCTTACCAATTTCTAGCGCCCTCATATCGAAACCAAGAAAACGCGTCCGATCGAGCATAGAGAATATGAATCAAGTCAAATCTGTGATGATCGAACCTGTATTTAATAATAATCAGCAAGAAAATGATGACTGTATTATTTATAATTTTGAGTTTTTATCGACATGGGGATCATCAAATGAAGTATCTTGTTCATCAATTTGGTTTCTTGACGCCGGAAGGAGAAGGACTAAGCCAATTGCAATAAAATCAGAAGAAATTTCTGATCAAAGGCTTTTATCACTTCTCTATGATGCATCTCTTATTAAATCAGATAGCCAGAAAACATTTTGTTATCAATTTTCGAAAAATGGAACTTGCCATACATTGATATCATTCTATTTTAGACCTGAAGATGAACCAGCTTACTGTCGAATCTGGAATACTCCAGATGGTAATGATACATCATTAAAAGACTTTAAAATTTTCATTGGCAATAATGAAATTGTTCGGAAAGAAGTTCCCATCAATTTTGGTATAGAAGTTTCTCTTGATAATGCTATTAGATTGTCAAGGCAGATGAAACAAAAAATCAGTCAAGACTATTTGCTTGCATTAAAGCCTACTCTAAAAGATGATTTCGGAACGTTTCCTATGATGCAATTTAATAGAATATCATTAACTTTTCATTCAAATCATGGATCAAAATCCTTGTTCGGTATTAATGGACTTGAAATTTTTGATGAAAGCCATAATCGTATCAAATATGAAGATATTTCATTTTGGAAAGTCAAAAATACCATTTCTCATACAAATCTCAGAAACATTTTTCAGCCTAATGAAAAAACAGGCTCTTACTCTGATCCATTTGTCATGGAAGTTGGTAATTTAGATGAATATCCAAAGCTTGTATTGAATCTAAATTACCCGAGAGTAATTGGTCTTATAAGAATATACAACGCAAAAATATCCGGATATAACCATATTGGAATAGAAAAATGCACAATTAAGCTTGGTAATTCATTAAAAATTCATAAAAAATTCGCCAAATCTGACACTGTAGATGTTTGGCTAACTGACTCAATGGAATATAGAGAAAAAATCGAATCAAGTTTCTAGTTTGACACCTTCGTATCTCATTTATTATATTGTTTGAATATATTGTTAAAAAATTTATTTTTTGATAAAAAAAGTTTTTATATCAGTACACTAGCGTACAAGATCACTCACATTAATACATATCTATTAGGTAAATTGAACAATCCATTCGATGAGAGAGTTCAATTGTTCCCGGATTTCTATGATCGTTTTATCAAGTAATATGTATATGGACGACTGATTCGAGTTTTATGTCCTCATGGGGGAAAAAATCGATTGAAAATTATTTTGAATTAAAATTTTGTCAAAATCTTTCTGAAAAGCATTATGATTGATACGGCTCCACTAATTGAAGAGGAAAAGAATGATACAGGAGAGGATTACCGCCTTGGAGGTAGATCTCCAATTGTTACAATTTTTACATTATTAGCCGGTCCTCTTCTTTCTCAGCTTATTAACGCATTTTATGGCATTGTCAATACAATTTGGATATCTAAAGGAATTGGTGATCAGGGGCTTGAAGCTTTATCCTCGTTATTCCTTTATGATATGATTATATTTTCTTTTGGGAATTTATTAATTGTTTCAACTAGTTCGCATATTTCATATCTTTTTGGTCGTAAAACACCTGATGATTGTAATCAGCTAATTGCAGACTTAATTCGTGTTGCAATCATTTTAGCTATTATTTATCCATCCATAGTGATCCCTACAACATATCCGCTTGTCAAATGGCTTGCTGAGTCATCTATAATTGCTCATGAAGCATTCAAATACGAACTTATATCTACAGGGTGCTGCATTGTGCCATTCATATTTTATGTCCTTTGTGGATTGTTGCAGGGTGAAGGGCGTACATGGATGTTTGGTGCTATGCAAGTTCTTTCTTTAATCTTAGATATGGGGTGCTTCTTACCATTATTTGTAGTCAAGTTGCATTTTGGAGTTTGGGGTGCAGCCCTTTCACAAATTATTGCTCAATCTGTGCCAACAATAATACTTCTGATTCTTTTGATTGCAGGAAAGCTTTCCTTAAAAATCAAATTTTCAATGTTTTTCAGAAAATTTGGAACAGAGACAAAAAATGCATTAAAAGTTTGATTTGCTTCATTTATTCTGAATTTATCAGAAGCATTTCCACAATTTGCAATGCAGAAATTTATTATTCTTGTTGCAGATCATGTTCATATGCGAGATCCTATTTTATCATCCTGGAATATTATTGGGCGTCTTTATACAGTTGCAATCTGCATTATGGTAGCATTTGATAGTGCATTTATACCATCTGCTTCATATGCGTATGGCCATCGACTCTATAAGCGGGTTGTCAGGCTCTGCCTTCATACATTTTGGATAACATTTGTTTATGCTGGTATAATGAGTGCGATTGTAATGATATGGCCAGTCGAATTAACAAAACTATTTTCAAAAGAAAAAGATGTGCTTTTTATAGCAAAGAAATTTATGTGGATTGCTTTTTTATCCCTTCCTATTTATCCTGTTCATGCAATTGTTATTTCATTCCTCCAAGCTATTAAAAGACCAACTAGAGCAACAGTATTATCTCTCATAACGACTCTGGTTCCAATGCCAATATTTTCGGCCATTTTTTACTTTACTCACCCAGATTCTCTCGCTTGGATATTTGGTGCTTATATTGCAACAGATATAAGTACTTCTCTGATTACGCTTGTAGGAATGTCATCGATTTTCTTCAGAATGATGAAGCTGAATAATGGAGATGAATTTTCGGATGAAGAAGAAATTCAAAGTCCATCAATTCCAATAACAAAGAGCGTTGAAAGTATAGCTGATATAGATAAATAGAGGTATATTTTATTCCATTTTTTTTTTAATATATGACTTTTATTATTGTTGATGTAACCTATTCAACAAAACGAATTCTATCTGGCTATCATGGCCTTTGTCTAAGGCGTAATTCTTATTTTAGTTGAATTCCTAAATGCACATAAAAATGATTGAAGCGAGCTAAAAAACGATAAATGATTTAACGATAAATATAATTTTTGTGAAATTTTAGAATTTGTGAACTATGGTTCATTATCTTGATTTTTTCTACTTGAAATTTTTGAATGTTTTTGAAAATTGAATAGAATAGAAGCTGAAGCGAATTAATATATTTGGTGATGACACATTGTGACGATTGCTTGTGAACGAGATAATTTATGAAAATTTGCGATCATTTTTATCAAAAAAATTTCAAGACCAAGAAAAACTTTTAAAAAGTGCTATCCTGCATTTAAGAAGTAAATGATAGATGAAGAATCAGATGAAATAATCTTTAATACAGGAGACTCCACATTTGCAAAGGGGATTCAGCATAATAATTACGTTCGCACAACAAGATACACTCCTCTAACTTTTATTCCCTTAACTTTATACGAAAATTTTCAACGATTTGCAAATATTTACTTCCTAATCATGGCTGTTTTATCATTTCTTCCATGGTCACCTATTACTCCTATAATTCAAATTCTTCCTTTACTAATTGTGCTAGCTGTTTCAATGCTAAAATCTGGTATCGAAGATTTGATGAGATATAGAAATGATATTCGCGAAAATTCAATTATATATGACGTTTTTGATAGGAAAACAACATCATTCGAGAAGAAAAAGAGTATGGATATTAAGCCAGGTGATATCATAAGAATTACAAACGAACAGCAAATTCCATCAGATGTTGTAATAATAGGTGTCTCGTCGAATGATGGAATATCTTACATTAACGAAGTAAATCTTAACGGTGAAACTGCTTTGAAGCAAAAAAGATGTTTGTTTGGAACAAGACAGCCTACTCCAGAATTTCAAGCTGAAGTAAGAGTGCCAAAACCAAATCAAGACATTTTGAAATTAGATGGCAACCTCAAAGTTGACAATCATAATTTTCCATTTTCTATTAAGAATTGTTACCTGAGAGGCAGTGTCCTTATGCACACTTCTTGGGCTTTGGGTGTTGTTTTATATTCCGGCCATGATACTAGAATCATTCAGAATCAAAGAAAGGCCCCTCATAAAACTTCAGTTCTAGAGCATAGACTTAACCAATTAACAATTGCAAATTTCACAATAATGTTTATATTTGTATTTTTGATGACAATTTTAGCCGTTCATGATGAAAAACACCTTGATTTTGCATGGGTTGTGAAAATTGATAGCATGGTCTCTTCATTTTTCCAAAATTTTATTGCGAATGCGATTTTACTCAGTTATTTAATTCCAATTTCCCTTTACGTCACCATCGAAGTGGTCAGATTCTTCCAGAGATGGATATTTGGTATTGATTTAGGCATGTGCGATTCAGAACTTGGATATTCTCAAGTTCATAACTCAAATTTGAATGAAGACCTTGGTGTCATAGACCATATCTTCTCAGATAAGACAGGTACGCTTACAGAAAATAAAATGGACTTGGTTAGCGCTTATATAAACAATACAATTTATGATCTTAAGAATCCTACCGAAAAAACCAAGCAAGAAGCAACGCATGGACCATTGCTACCACTTTTAATCAACATTGGCATATGCAACTCTGTTGTCCTTACAAACAATGAGATTTCTAGTGAATCTCCAGACGAAGAAGCCTTAGTCAAGAAGGCTGGCGAACTGAATGTGAAGCTTACAGATAAAAACCTTGAGTTTACCACGCTTTCAATAGCTGGAAATGATGAAAAATTTAGATTATTAACTTCAATCGATTTTACATCAGCAAGGAAGAGGATGTCTGTACTTGTCAGAGATAAGGATGGTATTATAACTTTATACTCTAAAGGAGCAGACTCCATAATGCTTGGATTATTGAAAAAAGATCAAGATCCGAGCCAATTGCAGAAAATTGTGGATGACTATGCAAATAAAGGTCTTAGAACCCTTGTTATGTGCAAAAGGGTTGTAACCGAGGAAGAATATGCAGCTTGGAAGGAAGAATACGATGCTTCTTTTGTTGCATTAGAAAATAGAGATGAAAATGTTGCTGCAGCTGGTGCAAAGATTGAACACGAGTTTGAGTTAATCGGTGCTGTGGCAATTGAAGATGCATTGCAGCCAGATGTTGGACCAACAATTGCATTCCTATCTAGAATGGGAATTAATCTTTGGGTTTTAACTGGTGATAAAAAAGAAACCGCAATTTCTATTGGAAAGAGTACTTGTGTTATTTCCAAAGACTCAAAGATTATCAGTTTTGATGAACCAGATAATAAGGATTCTGTTTTCCAAGAAGTTCAACGGGAAAATAAAAGTGTTCTTGTCATTGGCCCTTCAGCTTTAGAGAGTGTCTTTGACACCGATTTCCTTCCAAACATTAGTGAGTTCTGCAAAAGCGTTATTTGCTACAGGATGTCTCCTTCAAATAAGGCTCGTGTTGTAGAAACAATGAGGAAATTTACCACAAAAAGATGTCTTTCTGTTGGAGATGGAGCCAACGATGTCTCCATGATTCAAGCAGCTCATGTCGGAATTGGTATTTTTGGAAGAGAAGGTCACCAAGCAGCGTCAATTTCTGACTTTGCAATTACAAGATTCAAACATCTCAAAAGATTGTTAGCTGTACATGGAAGATTATCGCTTGTTCGCATATCAGGAACAATCCTGTATATGTTTGCAAAAAATATCGTCCTGATTTTCCCTCAGGTTTGGTTCAGCTATTTCACAAAATTCTCCCCTGTTACTATTTATAACGACTTTCTTCTTACAACATACAACATGGCATGGACAGCTCTCCCTCCTCTGATTTACGGAATGTTCGAGCAAGATGTGTCACCTGAAAGTATGTTAAAATACCCACATATGTACGCAGAAGCTCGCGCTGGAAGATACATGAGCTGGTGGCGAATTATGCTGGAAATGTTATGCCCTTTGTATCAGTCTGTTATCATTTTTGTGTTTTGTTTTTACCTTCCGACAACAGTGATTTCAGATCCTTATAATATTTCTAGTGACTTTGCATGTTGTGGATTCATTTCATTCTTCGCTGTTATCCTGGTTTCGAACATACAATTGGCAATTCGGTCACACCACTGGAATTATTACATATTCTTAAGTATTTACTTATCAGTATTCATTTTCTTGCTATTTTCCATTGCTTATGCGGCTTTTCCAACGCTTTTCCCGCTGATATTCGGAGTTCCTCAACAAGTATTAACAACTTGGCAAATGTATATCAATCTCTTGATCGCACTTGTCCTATGCTTGCTGCCAGAGCCCATATTCAGATATTTGAAAGCTCTTTGGTTCCCTTCATATTCACGTTTGATTCGTGAAGGTGAAATCTTTCAAGAAAAGGAAAGAAATATAATGAGAGCAAAGCTTAAATCCTTATAAATAAATGTTTGTTTTTCTCTTCTACACATAACAATTTTTTCTAAAAACATTCAATTTTCTTGACAACCCTCACATTATGACTCAGTTTTCTCATATAAAAAGTTAATATTTTGGTCAGAAAAAGTTATAACAAATCAACAATTAGTACATTATATGGCAGTTATTTTCTTATTTATTTTTTTTAATTCAAATAAAGAATTATTGATATTTTGAGATGATGCAAGAAAGTGTTAAGTGTATTCTCAAATTTTGTAATATGAATGATAAATAATCATCGGAAAAATGAAATCATTTCAAAGTACAAGCTGATGATATACTCAAAATATATTTTACACTCTTACTTTAATTGTTGCTTGATACTTTTTCGGGCTTGTCAATATATAAGTTGCGAGACATATTTTAAAATTGATTTTTATATTCTAGTCTATTCAAATTTGGGGGCTTTTGAATTCCTTACAAAATTGAATTTATAAAGTTAAAAAAGAAGAGATAATGTTGCATGCTAAGTTCGGTCAAAATGTAAACCTCTCAATTTTATCGTCGGGGGAAGTAACTCAATTCCTTCAAAATTATTCTTTAAATATTGAATTTAAAGTTATTTAATTTGGATTATAAATAAATAGGCTAATACAATATTTAAAAATGAGAAAAAATAACTTTTCAAAGAACTTTTCATAATCTCAAAGAAAATTTTTTATTCAATAATTATATAAATTAATTAACATTCATAATGAAATTGGATTTTTTTTATAAAAAATTGGTCCTACTTAACTTTTTGAGAGAATTTGGCTTTCTCGTAAACGAAAAAGGGGATTTGACGGAGTCAAATCCCCGCTCACAAAAAGTGGACTTTACATGTCAAATTTTATATGCATGTAATGTCCACTTTTATGAGTTTTAGGAAGGAATTGGAAGCCATGAGTTACTGACATTGCATCAGTATCTCATAGCCTCCAATTCCTTCAAAAAATGGGAGAAACTTTGTCCGAATAGTTTAACATTCGGACAAAGTTTCTCCCATTTTAAGAAGGAATTGGAGGGTAAGAGATATACCATATGAATGTATATCTCTTACCCTCCAATTCCTTCTAGAAAGTGTCCAAACTTTGGGTTAATTGCAAAGTATTAACCCAAAGTTTGGACACTTTCAAGTGGAGATGGAAGGCTTTGGGGTATATATTAATACAATATACCTCAAAGCCTTCCATCTCCACTACAAATGTGAGAAACTTTGTCCGAATAGTTTAACATTCGGACAAAGTTTCTCCCATCTTTCAATGTAATTGCTACCTGTGAGGTACTGACTTGAAGTCAGTGCTTCACAGGTAGCAATATCCAAAAATTTAAAAACATTTTATCAGTTCGTTAGAGAACTAGAGCCTCCTAGGTACTGAACCAGAATCAGTGCCTAGGGGACTCTAGTGATCTATATAAATCTGAGAAACTTTGAGGAAATTGTTCGACATTTCCTCAAAGTTTCTCAGCAATTTAGCGAGGAATGTTCGTTATCGTGTAGATATTTATAATATATACATGATAACAAACATTCCCCGCTAAAAGATGTAAAATCTTATAAGAAATAATTGCAAAAGAATAACAAATTGCAACAAATTTTATATGAAACTGAACCTTATGAGGTAGTGATTCAAGATCACCGCCTCATAAGATTCAGTTTCAATCTCAAGTATCTCAAAAGTAAGGCTCTATTTTTTGCCATGTAAAGTGTCACTTTTTCTGTCCAAATGATAAGTTATTCAGAGAAAGTTTCCCAGCTATCAAGAAGGAATTGTTCCTTATGAGGTATATATTCATACTGTATACCTCATAAGGAACAATTCCCTCCTTAAAACGAGAAAACTTGTTCGAAATTGTTTATCATTTCGAACAAGTTTTCTCGTTTTTAATAAGAAACTAAAGGCTATGAGGCACTGATTATATATTAGTGCCTCACAGCCTTTAGTTTCTAATAGATAGCTGGGAAACTTTCTCCAAATGATAAGTTATTCAGAGAAAGTTTCCCAGCTATCAAGAGGGAATTGTTCCTTATGAGGTATATAGTTATAATGTATACCTCATAAGGAACAATTCCCTCATTAAAATCGTAGATATTTTTTACTTATTACTCATGCTTTCAAAATCACAATCCTCTGAAAAGTTATTTTTTATTAAGAATTTAGAATTTTGATAAATACCTTTTTTCAATTTGATATAATACTTATATATTTTCAAAAAGACATTTTGAAAAGATATCTCAAAAGTTCTCTGAAAACCTATTTTTGATTAATTTTGAGAAATATCCGTATTAAATTAATCACTAAATTCATTCAACACTACTTTAATTTTTAAATTCAAAAAATTATATGTGCTTCTTAAAATGTCTCACAAAAATTTTATTATAAAATTATATACAATATTAAAAATCCCACAACATTTTTTACTTTACATAATCGTACTTCCTCGACGATTAATTTCCCCTCAATTCCTATCGTTGACCGAACTTAGCATGCAACAATAAAACAATTAGGCTCAACTTTGAATTAATTCGGTTTTGTAAATTCAATTTTGTGATCCATTCAAAACAACAAAGTTAGAATATACAATGGTTTCAAAATAGATGACTTTTGAAAATCTTGAAGCAACCACTCTTTAAAAGATAAACTATATTGTTGCAAATCAAATAATTAATCTTTGAGGAATGCAGAATGCTTTTAAAGGATCTTATTGTCATTTCATGTTATGAAAAACACAAATATTCCTTAAATACAAGATAAATTAAATGTGCATTATCATTTTCATGTTATGAAAAACGCAAATATTCCTTAAGGGTGCACTTACCACTTTTTGACATGCTCCCACAATATCAATATATCTTTATTATGATTGCAAAAAAGTATAACAGTAATATAAGGTACTAAGTAGTGATTTAAAATAACTTCTTTCCGAACAAAGTTAATGACTTTTTACCTTAGAAAATTATGATATAAAGCTTGGATGTCAAAAAAATTGAGAGAATGTCAGAAAGTGGTAAGTGCACCCTTAAGGGATCTCCGCCTTAGTTTACAAAAAATACGTTATTTACACCTAGAGTCTTTTTCTATAGATCCTTTTTAGATTTTTAAACAATGATAAGATAGAGTATGATCAATGTATGCTATATTTAAGTTTATTCATAAAAATATCAATTCTATCATAGAGAAAAAGTACATTTAAGTGTAAAAATTTAAATAGTTGTAAACTAAGGCAGCGAGCCCTTAAATACAAGATAAATTAAATGTGCATTATCATTTTCATCTGTAAATGTAAAACAGTTTCTATTATTTTTGCGTGATTATCTCTTCTAAAACTTTATTTAACAGTTCTTTGTGTACAGTATCATTTTTTTTCATTTTTTTGCATATTTTGAGTAAATTTTTCAACAAAGTTAAAATCACCTTTTTATCAAGACAATGAAAATAAAAAATTTTCACTGTAACCTGATGATAGTGATATTTTTGTCACTTTTCCATAGAAAGTACAATCTCTTTCAAAAACCCAAAATTGAGATCTCGAAGTTTCCAAAATTGATAATTCGGTTACAGATTTGGTATACTACGAAACAATAATAAGAAGATTACTTTCAACTAGATGTAAAATAGCAATTTAAAGGATAAAAACTAAAAATTATATTTATTTTATGATATAATAAAATCATTATTAGGAATGCTATCACTACAGCGTGGCGAATATAAGAAATTATTTGCAAGCAACTTAGAAAATATGAAAACCAATCTTAAACCAAAAGAGGTTATTAAAAATTCCAAAATTGCTTCAAATACAAAATTATATCCTATTCAAAATGCAGAAAAAATTTACAAAAAGGGATCAGCATGTTATATGATGGCAATGCAACTCCAAAAGGCCCCGTGGAATGTAAAATTAACTGTATAAATTTTAAATAAAACTTCATTTTTTTAAATGTTAAAGATGATATTCGTACTGACTGGAATAACTTCATCCATGGTTTTAAATCCATCAGGAGTTAACAAATTAAACAAGAGGATAGGGTTAAGTAATGATAAAAACATCTCATCAAACACAGATATTGCAACCTGTAAACAGGCATTTCCATTTGGTGTTGAAATCACATTTGATTATGAAGGCAAAACACTTACCAGATGGGCAAAAAATATTTCTGGTCAATATATTTGCGGCTCAGGAGATAGTTGGTTCCAATATACCTCAAAAAGTAATGAAAAACACTCTGAAGGAGATCCATTAGGAGGTTTCCTGGTATTTATTATTAGTGTTATCATTTGTATAGCATTCACTGGAACTTGGCCAATTCTGGCTTCATTATCATTATCCATTGATGTTGTAAAAAAGAAACTTGATACTTTTGCATCAACATTGATGAATATGCTCCAAAGAAGTTCTGTTCAACAAACAATGAATATATTTAATGCTGTATATCTTACCGTCTCTGAAGATCAGGCGGAAACATTTGGTCAAAAGGTATCGCAAATGGCAATGAATGCTGCTGAAGAGATGGATAATACTTTTTTGGAAGAAAGAGAGAAGATGGACAAAGAATTGGTCGAATCTGGAGTCAACAGCGATAAGCACAGGAAAATGACTTTGTTTAGTCGGATCTATATGATTATTTCGTTTGTACTGATGTTTTTTGTATCATTAGCGGTTGCACAACTCTTTTGCGCATATATGAAATGGCCAAATTTAATTAAGAAAGTTGAAACATTAAAGTGTTATCAGCTAAATACCGAGGATATTCCTCTTGGATTTGATTATGATCCTAATATGGAAACAAACATATACGCACAAGTAGGAAATACTACTACAAATTCAACACATAAATCTCATAAAAAGATACTCGAAGATAACTCAGCAAAATCTCAATACAGCAATCTTAACACTGCATCCTTTTCAATTACAGAAGATAAAGCTGTAATAACTTCTGACTGTGAAGCTTCATGGGTTAATCTTGATGATAAATCCAAATATGTTGTCCTTCCAAGCACAAAAGTTGTATGCAAAAAAGTAGATGCAGTCAAAATTGCCCTTAGAAGAGCTCGCACACGAGAAAAATGTGGTGATTCTTTTGCATATAAGATGCATGATAAGGAACCAGCTCCGACTGATGTAACATATAAATGGACTAAGACAGGAAAAACTCCAAATGCATGCAAAAGAGCATTATCTAAATGTGATATTGTTTGGGAGGATACCCTAGGTTTCAAAAAAGAATCACAAAATTGGCTTTATTGCAATGTATATCCTCAAAAATCAGAAATGTTAAAAGTAGACTCAGATGGAACTGTTCTTAGTAAAGTATCAAATGAAGATTTTGAACCAATTTTAACTGTTGATCCCATGGTATCTAGAGAATATGGCTGGTATACAGACGGAACAAATGAAATTATTGTAGAAACAACATTTAATAAAGGAATAGGCTCGAATGTTCTATTTGAAGATAGAGCTAGACTTTCAAATGAAGAAATGGTGAAAATGTTAGAAATGAATCACTATTTTTCATCATCAAATGCTGGATGGTCTGCAAATGAATATCTTCCAGGTCCAAATGTTAAACCAAATTCATTTCAGTGTAGAATGCAGTATACATTGAAAAATATTCAAAAATATAAACAGGTTTCAAATCCTTGTCAAGAAGTTCATGCTCAACTTGTTGATGGAACAAAAACCAGATTCACAACAACAAGTGAAACAACATGCTCATTATCTATCGGATTTGGTAACGATGAAGATGAACAAATTGTTACACTAAAGAAAGAAAAAAGTGCAACATTTTTAGGGCCAACAAAATGGAGATGCAAATCGTCATCTAATGGAAACGGTACAATGTGTTCAACAGATACTTCAATCAAATTAATTAACATAGATGCAGAAAACGTTAATGGATCAATTCAAGTTGATGTTACAAATTCGGGATTTCAGCCACCGGCACAAGTTGGTGCTGATCTTGGCTTTGATCTTGGATTTGGATCACTTTTTAATGGAATTCAATTCGGTCATATAGCAATATACATAATAATTGCCATTATCATTATAATAATACTAGTTATATTAAAGAAGAAAAAAGTTTTCCACAAGTTATGCAAGAAGATTGAAAAAAGTTCCTCATCACTAAGTTCATTAAGACGAGGAAATACTCGTAGGAAACCAGAACAACCCGATGTCGAGATGTATTCAGAATAAATTTTTTATTAATAAATATTGAATTTTAGCAATAATCATTTTTATAAATGGGTGATGCAACCAATGTAGCACTAATAATTGGTGGTTTCTTATTACTCGTTATTTTCATAATTCTATTTGTATTTTGCTACATATGCAGGGGTTATGTTAGATGTATTCAATGTTGCGGAGATTGTATTGGCGATACAGCAGATCAGGCAGGAGAAGCTGTTAATAAAGAAAGGGCAAACATTCAACAATCAATGGATAATGCAACTTCTGCAATGTCAACTACTGCTCTTGCACATTCTAAAAAATTGAAAAGAAAAGCAATTAAAAGAGCCAAGAAAATCGAAGAGAGTTATTCTAGTGATAATATAGATGAAACATCTTATTCAATTGAACAATACGAATCAGAAAAAGAAGAAGTTTAGATATAAAGTTTTTATGTATTATTTATTATCTTTTTTATGCTTTTTATTTTTATTTTTAGACTTTTGTGGCTGATCATTAATTGTCTTTATAACCGAAACAATGGCTTTTTTTGCTTTTTCACCTGCAATCTTCTTAGAAGCTTTTGCAAGTTTCTTGACACCATGGGCAATCCTAGAGACACTATCTGTAATAGACATTAAAATTAGTGATGTTAAATCGAAATTTAGAGAATGAAATTTTTATTTCATAAATAAATACAATCGGAATTCATCAGTTTGAATCATAATAATATTTGTATAATTCATTTTCACTTAAAATCATAACTAGAGCATAGATACCTCTTCGGAAATCTTTTGAACATGGCGTAAGATTTGTCAATTTATGCAGGATTGATGAACAGGCTCTGTATAAATCAGAATCAATCGATTGACAACAATTATATATTGGAACCCCAAACTCGTTAATGGGTGGTTCTTTCAATTCTTTTTCATCAGAGTTTGTTGGTAAAATTCCAAGATCATTGAACAATTCCATTAGATCATTAAAATTTCCTATTCTCTCGCAGGCATTACATTCAGGAATAACAATATCAAGATAAGTTGCAAAAACACCTAATGCCGATTTTGCAATTGAAATCATTGTTTCAATATAAATTGTTATATCTGCACCTCCATTCATAACGCTTTTCCTCATATCTTCCACAATTTCAATACAATCAGCATCAATTGTGTTTTCCTTGGCCACATATAAGCCAAAATCATAGAGATTGCGATAGAATTCCTCCATCATTTAAAATGAAATGTGTCATTAATATAAATGAGTCAAGTACCGAGTGACTTCTTCTCAGATAATTTTGATTTTGATGAATTTTATGATCCAGAAAATATAATGGATTGGGCGCAAGATCCATTTATTGAGACATATGATATTGAAAATGAGCAATATGTAAGTCAAATGTTAGAAAGAAAACGCTCAACATTCAGAAAATTTGGTTCAAAGGGTGAATCTTTACCAAATAATTGGGAAGAAAAATTGTATCAGTTAATGTTTCTTCCAATCACATATGGAATCCAAAGAATGACGTTTCCTGAAATTAAAATACCAAGCAGTAATCATTGCATAATGGCAAATTCAAATGATGTATGCTTTCCATTTGATTGCGAGGATTGGGCAAAAATTTTAAGTTGCGATGGAACACTGAATATATATTGTTCTTACAATGATACAAAACAATGCAAATACTTTTGTAAATGGCTTCCAATTGTTGTAAGAGAAATCACAGAATATATTTATGTTAAAATCACACAATTATTAATGGAAAACAATCAATTTGAGGAAAAATTAGAATCTATGTATTGGTGGCAAATTATCAAGAATCGTTCCGCATACATTCCAAATTGGGGCAAAAATATTTCATGCATTTTAATACAACCAATATCTGAATGCAAAAACAGAATATTTCCATGTCCAATTGTTCAATCTTTACTAGAAACCATTGATCAAAAACCCAGCGATGTCGTTCAAATAAATGAGAATGAAACTTCTCTAGAATCAGATAAAATTTCTAGAATTGTGAAAAAATGCTCTAATGAACCGATGGTATAATATATTTTTTTAAACAATTTTATAATAAACACACCATACATATTTAAAAAGATTTCCTAAAGTAGATCTAGCTTTCAAATTTGCAAGTTGAGGACTACTACATTCAACTAGAACATATGGTTGTCTTGAGTAGGAGTAGTTATACCCACTAGATTTTATTGTATACACATCTCTCTCATGAATTGCTTGTTCAATTACAAATTTTGCAGTGTTAAAACTTGAAATAGGATGTTGTAAATTAGAATTTCTAATTCTATCTATTCTAACAATAAAATCAGTTTCGATTGAATATTTCCCTCCTAATTTCATTATATTTTGTCTATTTACATCTGGATGCAAATATTCTTTTACAATTGGGCAAAATCCAAAAGATTTTGATGTTGTAACTTGGGAATGTATATAATTATAAGCTGCTTTCACGTTATTTGATATTGCTTCAATAACGCATGGAGTTGCATCTCTATTTAATGCCATCTGATTTTTGATATATGAAGAAAAGTAAGACTCAGAAAATGGACAAAATGTGACAATGATTGAATGATAATGTATACTAGATTGTACGCATTGTGCATATAGGGAATATGCTAGAAGCATTCCATCAGGTGATGTAATTTTTTCTATATCAAATGTGGCGGAAGAAGAAATGAAAAATGCCCTTGAATGCGAGTTGAATGGTAATTTTGGTGTTATTCTTGATCTTTTCCCCAAAAGTTTGAATAAAAACATTGAAAGAGATTTACCAATTTGTGATTTTGAATAACCATTTTGTTCTAAAACCATAAGTAACGCTAAAATTTCTGCATAATTATTTTTGCACAAATCAGGAAAATTTTCATGCATAGGAATTCTATTCATATTAAAGCGATCAAAATTTAAAATGTTCTTCATTTCATATTCTATCCTCTGTCTTTTTCGTAAATCATTCATCATGATCATCTTCCTAGTTTGCATTTATTAAAATGGCAGAATTTTATAAGAATTTAAAATTCATTTTTATTAATGTCGTCTGATATAGTAGACATCTCTTCTATTATTGGAAAAGAAATATCTGTTGTAAAGGATCCTGATATTGCATGCACAACTTTATCAATTGATCAAACAATCAGGTTGGATGGAATTCCAACACCAATTAAAAATCAAATATTATGTATAAAAAGATGCTTGGATTATCTAAATTTAACCAATGAAATGGAACATCTTGATCAATTATTGCTAGAATTGGAAATGTCTGAAATCAAAGATCTCACAACATTTACAGATCCATGTCAATTAATTAAATCACTTAATACAGATAATAGTTTTATTGTAATCGATGGATTCCAAGAATCGTGCGATGCATATCTTGTAAGAGGAACAGAAAATGGAGAAATAACATGGTGGGTATTATTAAATTCAATGACATGTAACAACGAATATATTGCAATTGATTCATACGCAATAGATTATTCCAGATTAAACGAATTTGATTCCTTTAAGCACGGAACAATTGCATGTTCATTCTTGATCAATGAAAATAAAATATTTGAAAGAGAAGAGCATAAACACCCTATTAGAAAAATACAATCATCAAATGTAATTGAATCCCTTGAAGAATTATACCTTGAATACGAAGGGAAAATAACAAAAGTTAATAATTTTGATGCATTATGTTCAAATTCATCAAGAGATGATTCATACACAGTTTTTTACTTTAAGGATAATACATGTGTTGGAATTTCAACAATAGAAGGATTTACAAAAGTATATAGTACTGAACCATTTTTTGAATTTAACGGTATTTCACTATATATTGTTAAAGATGGTCAGAAAACAATCAGAAATTCAACAATAAATAAGCAAAAGAAAGTGGCCAAAGAAGCACAAAGATCAATTGATGAATTTTGCCTCAATTATACAGAAACTGTTGCAAAAAGTATTTTAAGGGATTATGAATCCCAAATTTCTGGAATATCTAATAACTTTAATACCCCAGAAAGTATAATGAAATTTATTACAAATATGTTATATAATAAAGACCCAAATGAAACACAGAAAGCATTCGCTTCATCAACAGTATTCCGCCCCTCAGATATTAATGATCCAATTAAACATCGAGTTTTCTTTTTATCAACTCCACCTGGATCCGGAAAAACTGCATGCGAAATAATGCCAGCTGTATATGAAAATTTTAAACAATCATTTAAATCGGATTCGGAACAATCCATAACAATCATTGCAACATCTCTTGTTCAAGTATCTGGACAAATTTCTTCAGCTTGTTTTTCTCTTTATGGAGGAAATGATAAGTGGCTAAAAGTTAGAAGACTAGATGGTGGCTCAAAAGAACTTTTAGGCGGAAAACAGCAAAACACAATATTTTTTAAGCCAAAATTTGCAAAAGAGCATGTTCTTGATAGTGAAGCGATCCGAAAAAGAATATTAAAGGGATTTTCTACAGAAACATTAAAGGAATATATGGAAGCTGTATTCAAAGAAGCCAAGCTGAATATCGATGGAAATATTTTCGATCAGGTTCTGAAAAATTTCACAGATCCCAATTCTTTTCGCAAAAATACCATTCCATTTATTTATGAAGGAATAGATTCAAAAGGACGTTTTAATGCAGATGTACTTGTTGGAACTTATGAAATGATTTATAGTACTCTTATTAACACTTTAGTCGGAAATGAAAAAGTTGACAACAAATCGGCAGAACAGATTGCAAATAGAATAAAATATATAATAATTGATGAATGGGATACAATATTCAGACCAAAAATAGCAGACAAAAATCCAATATCTGAAGTACTTGATCAAAGATTTTCTCATTCCTATGGTATTATTGCATTAGCCCTTTTATTACTTAAAAAGAATCCTAATTGTAAATTAATTCTTGCCTCTGGAACTGGTTCTAAAATGCTGAAGATTTGCGAAGAAAATATTTTAACGGGAAAAAGCTCTAATATGCTTGAACCTTTGTTAAGATGTATACCAACTAAAAAAGAATTAGATGATGCATTAAAAGTTATTGAAAATGAATCCAACAATCAACTTTCAAAAGAAAAACAAGTAATGTTTGTTAAGAAGTCAAATACATCCTCATTAGATAATGCAAAAAGTTGTTGGAATGTATAACAAGCAATGCATTAATGCATTCTAAAATCGCACCTCTTAATATTTGGGGATCAAGAAAATGCATGGCTTTATCAAAATCGTTAATGGTTTATCCAATGGCGGCTTATGCAGGATCAAATATGCTTTTACTTAATTCATTGGCAAATAATAATTATATCAAAAGATGTAATGTCGCTCCTGATCTCAGTAAAGTTTCTTATGATGCAGTTCATTCAACAATTATGAATATCGCTTGCTGCTTTCTTTGCGAAATGAATGTATCAAAAACTTTACTTATGATTGCAAATGATCCTAATTTAAGTGGATGGGGATATCTATTATCAATAATAATCACATATATAGTTGGTGGAGCAAGTGAAAGTAATGAAAAAATAATTATTTTATTTGCACAATTGAAAGAGCTTCATATTTATGTTTTAATTCTAATTGGAGTCCTTCTATTTATGCTAGAACACGATGGAATTAGTTTACAGAGACTTATTGAAACACGTTCTCCACCATCAAAATGTAACTTATCTGAAGCAATATCTCTTATTTCATCCAAAAGTCTAAGAAAAATCAAAAAATCTGCCGATTCTATATCAAAACAAAATTTTTATTCATTTGATAATCAAATTGATGATTTGATAAAAGTATCTTTATCATCTGAAATAGATCATATAGGTTGTGCAATTTTCAAAGATTTACTTTTGAAAAATTTTGGTATAGAGCATTTATGGGAATTATGTGAAAAATGCATCTCATGTGGAATTGTTTCAGTCACAAAAGAAACTGTTTCGCAGGAGACAATGATAAATTATATTTCACATGAAGATGGAAATCATCCATTGATAGTTGTATGCACATCTAGATTAGGAGAAGGCGTTGATTTGGCTCATGCTGGCCCAACTTTCGTTATTTCAACCCAAGGAAAACAAGAAAAATCAGTAACAAAAAGAGATTGCATTCAATGGCTTGGAAGGGGCTATAGGAAATCTAACTCATCATTATGTTTTTGCCTTAATATTCCAAAAGAAGAGCCAGAAAAAGAATTTTCATCAAAATATGAATCAGAATTCAAAGATTCTCATACTGCTATTTACTCAGGATTCTTATCTTCAAGACTGGCACGCGACATGTTTACATGTCTGGCACTAAAGGACGTTTCTTGTGATTCAAAAACAGGAGATCCAATTACAAGTACAATTATTCCAAAATCAATTACAGATGCACAATTGATCTGCGTTTCGCCTGTAATTCTAGATGGACTTATTGATGGTAATGGAGATCCTATTATAAGTTCTATTATTAGTACAGTTCAAACTAGATATGTTCCTCTCAAAATGGTTATTAGAAGCAAAAAAATGTATCAGCTTGATGCCAAACATTTAAATACGATCATTCCAGATATATTTATTTCAGATACTCTCGGAGTGTCTACAACAGCATGGGGAATTTATTGCGCTTCTGCTTTTTCATATATAGCTTCTAGAGCTCAATTACCTCCGGATGTAGATAGAAACATTTTTGATTTGTATGATTTCACACGAAATTTGAGTAGAATGATGATGTTTATGTCAAATTTGAAAGACTCAAGCATATGGAATGGCATATATAAAAACTTAAATTCAAATAATGTCAATGGTTGCATTGAGTTTTTCAAAGAAATACCAGGCTCAAGCTCAGATTTTCCATCTTTGAAATCATTAGCCCAAAGAAAAGCATTATGCCAATTTGTCGGAGCATGCATTGCAAGAAGAATGGGAGTTCCATGCTTATCATTTATATTCACTATTGGATGCATTGCATGTAACATACAAATCGATTCAATCGGTGAAATTCCAGAAGGCTTTAAACATGAAGATGGCAAATGCCCTAAAATTAAGAAGACAGATGTTTTCAAAAATTTCGACAGCGTTGTCAACATAATGGACTTAGTATCAACACTTGGATTGGGTTTCCTTATTAACGATGATTCATATATCCCACAAAATGAAGTTAATTTGAAATGCAAGAAGAAGAAAACAGTTACTATTCCTCCTATGTATACTCAACCTCTTAAGTTTTATTTATGCAGAGAAAAGAATCCATTTACAATGAAGATGAAAGCAGGTGATAAGCCATTTTTAAACCCAATTCTTTGGACAGAAGCATGTGACTGCTTTATATCATGTTGCAACCTATTGTTAAAGGTTTCAAATAAGCCTCAAAAAATATATAGTTCAAAAAACGAAAAGTCTGCACCAAAATATTCAACTAAAATGGTTTCACTATATAATATGCTATATATGAAACCTCAATGCATTAATGATCCAAGACTTCAAATATTCGCTGAAGGATTGAGAATGATTCACCATATCAGAACCTCGGTTGAAAAATGTACATCCCTGCCACAGCGTGATACATCTCCATTTATATCATTAATTGTTGGATTTTCCAGTTCATTTTCATCCTTATTTGATGAAATAGGCGATGGAAATCTTTTTAAGGAATTTTATGATATATTATCATCTGACACAAATTCAGTATTACAAGTGAAAGATGAAGACATTCTTAAAACATTATAAATTTTATTTTTTAAGTAAATATTTTAAAATCATAAATAAAAGGTATTTTTCATAATGGAATTTGATGGAATATACTCTTCTTTATTCTGCGATCAGTTCCTATCGAGATTAATAATGACTCAAAATCCTTGGTTTGATATCGATTTCGATGTTAATGATAATTTTGATGAATTTTCTGGCTCATATTATGGAATTTTTAACAGACAGCCATATGAAATAGCAAGATCGCTACCAAGACCATTCAATCCAGGATACACTCAAATTAAAATTTCCAAAGTCGAAAATTCATAAATTTTTATAATAAATTTCCAACATTTCAATTTTTTTAAATCATTTTTGATAATGATAAGCGATGATGCATATGATAGAACGTATGTTATCGAATTGTATAATTATTTACGTCCAGGATCTTCTGGGGGTACACTGAAAAATATCAAATGTACTCTGAAAACTTTGGAAAAAATATCTCATATGAAATTTGATGTTGAACCTTGGGAAAATATTCGTTATTTGTTCAATAATTCACCTGATAATGAAGCAAATAATGAAATAAAAAGAAAATTAATTAATGACTATAGGAACAAATCATTGATGAGAATTCCAAGATCTAAAACTACATTAGCAAAAGAAATATGGAAAATGTTAATTGCTGATGATTTAACATCTAAAGGGATATTCCGATGCTCCCCAACATTAGACACAATCAAAGATGAATCAACCAAAAACATGTATTATGACTCAGAATATGATTTTATTTAGAGTAAAAATATAAATAGGATTATGTTTAATGCAAATCCTTGATTAGAAAAATTATTTTCATTATGTAAATCCTTGATTAGAATATATAGTTTTTAAAAATCATCACCTTTAATTTATTTAAAAATCGTTATTGATTATTAAATAATGTTATTAAAATATTTTCGGCACTCTCCTGATCCATCTGAAGAAATGCTGCTAAGCTTCCTAATCTTTCTATATATACCCTAATAATATTAAGATAATTGTCGATTAATATAGAATCACCTTCAATCTTACTAATAAATTGATCCCAACAATCAGCTGGCATTCCTGAGTCTATTAATGCATTATAAACGGAAATTATATCCTCTTGTTTAAAATCTTGAATAGTTTCCAAAAAATTTTGAAATAATTCTTGAATTGGACCAAGAATAGTTTCTACGATTTTGCAATGCAAGCTTTCAAAACCATTATACATTGGAAGCTCTTGGGAGTTCACATCATCACCAGTCATTTAAATAAAATGGAAATAAAAAAGGAAATTTTTATTTTTAAAGTTTCACAAATTCATTTTGACAGACTTCTTTAATTTCTGGTGTGTCAAGAAGTTGTTGCACAAATTTAATGCAGATTTCATGCAAAATTTTATAATCAATTTCTTTGCATAAATTTTCATAGGTAATTTCTTCCCAATTGTCGCAATTTGATGGCAAATTTAATGCCTTTTCACATATATTTGATAGTAAATATTTTAATGGCTCAGTCATCAATGATAACATATATATGGGGAGAAGTAATCCATTATAGTTCATATTATCTGATAAATTCTTGTAACCCATAATAGATGGTCTTGTATCGATCTTGAAAGTGACAACTAATCTACTTATAAATTCTTTATCCAACCAAGATTCAGACTTTGTTCCAATTTCAAGAAGGCGAACAAAATCATCAAGGTTTGGAAATTCATTTTCTGTAACTATTGAGTTAAAAACAAGGCATAATGAAAAAACTACAGCATATTTGACATTGTCTTCGACTTTTTTATACCTGTAATCCGATGCATTTAAAATACCATCTAGTGCATTCATAAATATTATAATAGGATTTTCGATTTCTTCTAACCCTTTGACTGTTAATTTATATTCTTTTGAAGTCACTCCGTTATCATTCATTTTACTTCTTACGTAATCGCTTTTGTATTTATCACGACCATATTTACCATATCTTTCCCTAAATTGTATTTTTTCCTTCTTTTTCATACATCCATAAGATTTGAATATATTACTTTCTTTGCGCAAATATTTAATATCAGGAAAAGAATCTATACCAATTTTATTTGTATATTTATATAATGAAACTCCTGCAGCTTTTGTGTCTTTTATCTTCCACCATAAATGAAGATTATCTTTTTGAGGGATTCTTAAAACCAACTGTTTTGATAAAAGGCAAAATGGTATTGGAATTAGCATAAAATGAGATGTATAATTACTTAAATCAGCCATACACCAACTCATTGCTCTATCATAAAGTGTCTGTTTTGGACTTGAATTCATACCGTTAAATCTTTCATTCCTCTTTTCTTGATATTCCAAAATTGAACCTCCGCTTTTGATGATTTTCATTGCCTGCTTAGAGTTAATGGGTTTTGGTCTACGGTCACTGTTTGTTGACACATCCTTTGATGACATTTATAAAAATGAATAACCGTTTGACATAAATTTTTTGATCCTTCAATTCATTTTTTTTGTTGCATGGAGTATAAAGAGGATTTCGTCCAAGATACGAGATTTGTTGAACAAATTCTTCAGAAAAATCCCGATTCAGAATTTCAAAATTCTAGCAATAGTACAATTTATAAGGCTTTTACAAAATCAATTGATAAGGCCTATAAATATAATAATTATGGACAAATTTATTTAAAAGGTGTTAATGACGCCTTGGAGAATATAAAAAATGTTGGTGATCCATTTGGTTTAATTTTTACAATTCTTGAAGACGTCATTAATAATTACAATAGATCAATTGTCGGAGAATTCTCATATGATGCAAATTCATTTGAAGATGGGGTTTTACATTTATCAAGATCCATGGAAATGAATGGAGATGGGCATTGCTCAGCTTGTTTAAATCATGGAAAAATAGTTTTCAACAAAAATCCGCAGAAAAGTAATTCGTGGAATTCATTTTTTTCGTTGATAAAAAATGAGTACGGTGCTTATGATATAGATGCTATTCTTCCATTAACATTTGTTTCAATACTTTTTCATATTTTACCACCTGATTCTCTCGAAGATGTTCTTGATTTAGATTTATCGTTTGACTATTCTGGTGATATAACAAGATTTGAAAATATATGCCATTCAACACATGATTCAAATATTATGATTGAAGATATTCATCGAATCGAATTTGAAAAGAGAAAAAAGACAAAAATTACTGAGATTAGCATTGATGACATTTTTAACGGATATTCAAATAGTGTTGATGGTGAATTATTTGTGAAATCTTTTATTCTTTCAGATGATATATATGACATTGAAATTCTTAATGAATATTTTCCTGATTATCTTAAATTTAGAGAAAATGATGATTGCGGAATCGAATATTATGTTTCATGGATTCAAAATGGATGCGAGGAAATCAAAATTAATCCATATATGAATATTAATGATGTATTATCAGAAAGAGAGCGGTTGTATAATAATCTCAACACCATTTCATCGGAAAAAAACACGAATCCAATTTATATTGTCGGCATCAATACGATTAGGAGACTTTTTATAGGACCATTTGATGATTATTTTATTTCAAAACTTCATTACAATGGAGGTATTAATGAAACAATTTATCCAATGGTTCACTTTTCACAAGGAAATTTATCTCTTCGACTATTCTGGTATAATATTAAAATGTGTATATTTGACACAGAGGAATGGAAAGAATTCTTGAATCTAATTGAACCAGATATGCATGCATATGTTAATGGGGTTTTGACATATATTAATGAGTATTTTATATTTTTAGATATTAGTAAATAATTTCACTTCATTTTTCATTATGGATATTTGTCCAATTGTTATTACTGGACCAATTGGAGCTGGAAAATCAACCCTTTGCTCACTGCTTGAACAAAAATTGAATTTAGAATATATTAGGGAATACATTGATCTGGAAAATGGAGAAAATATGCTTGCTAAGTTTAAAAATGGAGAAATTTCTAATCAGGTTTTTCAGGATTACATCTTAGATTGCTTTGATTCGCAATTACAACAGAGCAAAACAAAAGTGGTTATAATGGAAAGAATGCCACAAGAAGGTCCCATTATTTTCTGTAATAATGATAAAAGTATTTTAGACAAAGCCTCCAAATTGCAAATGAAATATTTTAAAAAAACAAATAACCCAATGAGAGTTATTACAGTAATTAACTCAGGTCAAAGCCCAAAAAAGTTAATGAATGAGGTTCTTGGCAGGATTTTTGGGACAAAATACGTTTCATATGATAATATTAAGATTCTAGAAAAAACTTCTGGAGTAATTATTTATCTTAAAACAAGCTCAGAGATATGTTTAAATCGTATTAAATTACGAAACAGAGCTCCTGAAAAATCAATATCTATTAACTATTTAGACGTGATGAACCGTCTTTACGATCAATATATTTCAAATTTCAAACTTTACTGATAGAATAAAGATCTAGAATAAACTCAGATTTTTAATAAGAAATGATATTTATTTTATTGGGCGATTCCTTTTATCATCATTCTCGGTATCTGCATTCATCTGTTTCATCAGGAATGGGATCATCTGTTGGTGAATACAAAAAGAATTCTTTATTGGTTAGCTCTTCAGCTACAATCATTTTCCAAATTTCTCGTGCAAGTGTTAACTTTGATGCAGGAATTGCTTTTCCGGTTCTTTTTTGGTACTCTTTTATTAGTTCGGTCTTGAAGCTTTCTAATTCTGGGTCATCAGACATGAACAAATCATAATAGAATTTCCATGGAGAAATATTGAATTTATATCCCCGTAGATCTTCAAGAACACTAATAATTTTCTCGATGTTTCCTTTTAAGGCACCTGTAGCACCTGGTCTTAGATAATTATAAAGAACATTAAGATATTCTTCATAGACATTGGGAGATCTAAACATTGATGAAAATGAAGTGATGAATTAATTTTAATTGAAACATCTCATTCCATTTTTCTTAAAGCCGGATGGGCTCATGTTTCTCAACGCATTAATTAAAATTCAAGAAAAGTTTTAATAGTTCAGAACGATATATTTCATCTAAACTTCAGGCATTACAATACTTCAACTGGCAAATTGATTATAACAATTTTAAGATTGCACAATTGAGGAGAGAACTGAAAAACATACCAATCGATTCCAATTATTCATATAAGACAGGAATTTCGATTAATAAACTTAAATTTGAAAATATTGTTCTTGAAAAAAGACTAAAATTGATATCACTATCTCCACCACACTCATGTCGGGATAAAATTGAACGCGCATCATATATATGGATGTTTGAATTCTGTCTTTACAAACATTCGAAAGAAAATAAAATGGAATTTTTGAGAATCAAAGACAATGATTCCTTAAGGAAGGTTTTGGTAATACTTAATCATATACTCCCTAACCATGTATTCAAGAGAATATTATTGACAAAACTTTATGACTGTTGTATGTTTCCAGAGTATCTTATTGCCATTCCTTGCTATGGAAAACGCACAAACTCCTTAATTACAAGAAAAATAAAATCTCTTTCAAAAACAATAGATCTCGAAGTTTCCAAAATTGATAATTCGGTTACAGATTTGGTATAAGGTCGCCAAAAAAAAGTGCGGAAATTAAAAACCACAGTTTGAGTACTTTCTGAGAGTCTGTTTGTCAGAAAGTATACATTTGTAAACTTTCTGACACTAAAATTTTTTTTGTCCTTTCAAAGTTTTTGACAATGTCAAAAAGTATACATCGGGGCTCTCAATTTTCCTCTCAAACGGCGGTTTTTTAAATACGCTCATTTTTTCATCGACCTTACTACGAAACAATAATAAGAAGATTACTTTCAACTAGATGTAAAATAGCAATTTAAAGGATAAAAACTAAAAATTATATTTATTTTATGATATAATAAAATCATTATTAGGAATGCTATCACTACAGCGTGGCGAATATAAGAAATTATTTGCAAGCAACTTAGAAAATATGAAAACCAATCTTAAACCAAAAGAGGTTATTAAAAATTCCAAAATTGCTTCAAAATACAAAATTATATCCTATTCAAAATGCAGAAAAAATTTACAAAAAGGGATCAGCATGTTATATGATGGCAATGCAACTCCAAAAGGCCTCGTGGAATGTAAAATTAACTGTAATGTTGCGTATTTTTTTTGATCCCACATTTTCTTGAGATTTCTGGGTATTATTTAAAGCAGTTGTCCATAGAAACACTTATATTTGAAATATATCATATGATAAATTTTTGGGAAATTTTGAATAGTCTACAAAATTTACAATCGGTTTTATATCATTCTCTTATCAAAATCAAACATAATCTTCAAAAATTGAATCAAAAACCGCCAGGACCTGTCAAATTTCCTGGACCCAGAAAAATGTGCTACGTTAGAATAAGATTTTGAGATCTAATGCTTAAAAATATAAATTGAATTTATTATTTGTTTCTAATTCAAATTTAAAGAAAATTTAAGGGTCCACTGCAGCCTTATTCGAATTTAAATTATAAGATTTTTTAATAATAATCTTGCAGGCATATTTCTATATCCATAATTTGAGATTTGAAACAAATTCCAAAACATCTTATAATGTGGTCAATTCTGGTGGAATAGTGTTGAAAACGTTTCCACAGGGAATAAAACCTGGTTTTTTGAGAATATTTTAAATGACATTTACAACAGAAATTATAAATGGTGAACCAGCAACTCCATTTGAATTTGTTAGAGGTCTTCAACCAGATACTTTTGAATTTTTCTTGGATAATTCTATTGAACTAACATTACATTATAAAAGTGGAACAAATGCAACATTTCATCCGGGAGATACATTCCAAATGGTATTTAATGACATAAGTTCTTTAGAATATGTTTATAGAGCTATGAGCATATATGATTTAATATATCCTATAGGAGCTGTTTATACGTCTATGAATCCAATAAATCCAAACACTTTATTTGGTGGTAGATGGTATGAAATAGTTGACAGTTTTCCATTCTACACTAATACGCAGTCAATGAAGATGGGAGGTTCAAAGAAAATAGGTATTGAAAACCTTCCTTCACATATGCATAGGTTCAGTGGAAGAACATCTGTGGAAGGAAACCATTCACATTCAATACAAAAAGAGGTTATACAAATCTTGCAGCAGGTTCGGATAGACAGGGAATGCATAGATATGATATTTCAAGTGACCCAGTAGATTCAAGCACAGGTATTTTCTGTGGAACTGCAGGAAATCATACACATGTTGTAGCTGGCATTACAGACCCAGCAGGTAATGGAAAAGATTATATGCCTCCTTATATAACAATGCACGCTTGGATACGAGTTGGTTAACTCAAGATCACGATCACAAACTGTTTCTCAGTATGAATGAGTAGCTCTATTTTTACATCATTACTGAAGTATTTCTTTTCTTCATCAATGACAGAAAGAATGTTTTCATCATCTTTTAAAGATCTTACCAAAGTTAGATCTTCATCAGAAAATCTCAAAGAAAGACTCATTTATGCACTAATAAAAATATAGCTAATTATTTTTTTATCTGAACTTTTTATCGGGTATATAAAGATGTCTGAACATCATATAAAGTTCTTTAAGATCCAACAGTTTGTAGATGAAGTGAAGAAGCAAAATAAAACAGCAAAGAGACTACTTATATGCTTACCACAAACATTATGTCAAGGAAAGTATGGTTATAGTGCAAGTCCGATCATGATCTTTGTCGATAAGCAGAAATACACAAATGAAGGTTTAGCTAATTTACTCAAGTTTGAAAAGATAGCTATAAACATTCCTGACCATTTCTCAGCGAGAATAAACCTTGACAAGACTAAAAGTTATTGTTTATATGTAGATCTCACGAAATCAACAAAGAGTAAAGACAAAGAATATAACCCAGTTGAACTTAAGACAATGGGTAAGAACTTACTCAAAGCTGCTATCAAACCTGTCGAAGAGATCGACATTGAGGATGAAGCAGAAGAAATAGATGTAGATCCTGAAGTGTTATAAACGATAAAGTTTATTTTTGGAGGAAGATGGTGTCAGACCTTTGATCTGGCATGCTTGTTCTAGGTAATTGCAGAAACCTAGAAAGATTGTATTGGTCTGAGTTTCATATCTGTCTCTCATCTCTCCATTGAAGCAAGTAAATTTCATGAAGAGTTCGTCTGGATTCTCAGGCTTTGGTACACACTGATCGAAGATCTGTATGACCTCTTCATGACCGTACTCCCTCTGGTCAGACATGAGTGTTCTGAAGAACTTTTGCATCTTCGGACCAGGTTTAGCATCTATGCAACGAGTGGGTCTCATTGACATTTTTGTCACTTTTATTTGGTCGAATGGAAGGATTCGAGTTCATGCCACTTGACAGCAAAGAAGGTGCAGAAGAGGTTGTTGTTGCTGCATTCTATGCGAGCTCACACGTTGACGCATTCCGAACTTACCAGGATGACCTCGAAAAAGAAGGTCGAAAGCTTGGAAAGATCCAAATGTTGCTTGAGTTCTTCCGTGGAAACCTTGCACAGAAGTATGAGAAGAAAGAATAAACAACTAATTATTACTGAGCTTAGCTCATAAATGTAAGTTTTTACTCTGATCAGATCTTAGATCTCGTCGGGACAAGCGGAAAGGATAAAGTCCATGAGCTGGACTTTTGTCTTAGTGAGCGGTACTGCGGTCATGAGTAGTTCGCGCTTGTTTGAGCCACTTGGAACGCGACCCTTCCAATTCCTCATAGATCTCAAGGCAGAGATCGTGAAGAACTCAAGGACAAAGAGTCTTTGAGACTTGGTAAGGAATCCCTCATCATCTCTTTCATCCTGGAGGGTCTTTGTGGATGCAGTGGACTTGATCTCGTCTTCCTCGATCGGATCATTCTCATAATCTTCATCACCCTTCTTCCTAAACGTCATCTGCTCTCTCTTGTAGTCGTTCCTGAGAGCATTGAGTCCAGCTTCAAGATCTTGTGAGTTCTTTGCAGGTTTATTGAAAGTTTTCTTTTCCTGCATTTGCTGTATAAGCTGGGTTTGCTGTTGCATCATCTGCATCATCATTGCCATCATATCTAGTGTTGGTGATGCTGGAGCTGGTGTTGTACCATCTTGGGACATTCGGTCGTCGGTTATGTCTTTACAAAAGACTGCTTTACAAAAGACAGCTTTACAAAAGACAGCTTTACAAAAGACAGCTTTACAAAAGACAGCTTTACAAAAGACTGCTTTACAAAAGACAGCTTTACAAAAGACGTCTTGACAAAAGACAGCTTTACAAAAGACTGCTTTACAAAAGCATTTTCTCACAAAATTGAATACTTTTGCTTTACAAAAGACGTCTTGACAAAAGATTGCTTTACAAAAGTCTGCTTTACAAAAGACGTCTTGACAAAAGATTGCTTTACAAAAGTCTGCTTTACAAAAGATTGCTTTACAAAAGATTGCTTTACAAAAGTCTGCTTTACAAAAGACAGCTTTACAAAAGATTGCTTTACAAAAGCCATGACTGATCTTCATCCAATTTGTTTAATCGAACTTAATGAAGTAATTTCTGCATATCTCCTGCATGTATTTGGAAACGAGAGGATAAGACAACTCACCAAGGTTTCCAGACGCCAGATCCAAAGACTTGAATCAACTGCAGGAGTAATCCTAAGCTTTGAAGAAGGATTAACCAATAAGAAAGATGTCATTGACTCCAAGCGTGAAAGCCTTGCTGCTTTCTTACGCAAACACCCATGGGTCGATGTTGATCTCCAAACTCCTTACCAAGGACTCGTTGAAACCTTCACGACCTACAGACAGCTCCTTGACAGACCTGAGCAGAACCTTCTGGTCGAACGTGATGGCACATTAAGCCCTACAGACGAGTCAATCCAGAGAGAAGAAGCTCAAGAGTAAAAATCTGAC